TCAGTTTGTTTCCTGAGATTAAGAATTCCTCATATCAGTGAGGTCATGTGATACATGTCTTTCTCTGATTGACTTATTTCACTCAGCATAACACCCTCCAGTTCCATCCACGTCGTTGCAAATGGCAAGATCTCATGCCTTTTGAGATGGCTGCATAATATTCCATTGTGTATATATACCACATCTTCTTTATCCATTCATCTGTCGATGGACATCTTGGCTCTTTCCACAGTTTGGCTATTGTGGACATTGCTGCTATAAACATTGGGGTGCACGTACCCCTTTGGATCCCTACATTTGTATCTTTGGGGTAAATACCCAGTAGTGCAATTGCTGGATCATATGGGAGCTCTATTTTCAACTGTTTGAGGAACCTCCATACTGTTTTCCAGAGTGGCTGCACCAGCTTGCATTCCCACCAACAGTGTAGGAGGGTTCCCTTTTCTCCACATCCCTGCCAACAACTGTCGTTTCCTGACTTGTTAATTTTAGCCATTCTGACGGGTGTGAGGTGGTATCTCATTGAGGTTTTGATTTGGATTTCCCTGATGCCGAGCAATGTTGAGCACTTCTTCATGTGTCTGTTGGCCATTTGGATGTCTTCTTTGGAAAAATGTCTGTTCATGTCTTCTGCCCATTTCTTGATTGGATTATTTGTTCTTTGGGTGTTGAGTTTGATACGTTCTTTATAGATTTTGGATACTAGCCCTTTATCTGATATGTCATTTGCAAATATTTTCTCCCATTCTGTCGGTTGTCTTTTGGTTTTGTGGACTGTTTCTTTTGCTGTGCAGAAGCTTTTTATCTTGATGAAATGCCGATAGTTCATTTTTGCCCTGGCTTCCCTTGCCTTTGGTGATGTTTCTAGGAAGAGGTTGCTGCGGCTGAGGTCGACGATGTCGCTGCCTGTGTTCTCCTTTAGGATTTTGATGGACTCCTGTCTCACGTTTAGGTCTTTCAACCATTTGGAGTCTATTTTTGTGTGTGGTGTAAGGAAATGGTCCAGTTTCATTCTTCTGCATGTGGCTGTCCAATTAATTGACCATAGAGTTGAGGGTCCATTTCTGGGCTCTCGATTCTGTTCCATTGATCTATGGGTCTGTTTTTGTGCCAGTACCATACTGTCTTGATGATGACAGCTTTGTAATAGAGCTGGAAGTCCGGAATTGTGATGCCGCCAGCTTTGCTTTTCATTTCTTTTTCAACATTCCTCTGGCTATTCGGGGAGTGTCCTTGAGTTTTAAACATAATGAGTCCTGTATAGTTTTGTTTGTGTATCCTCTAAATTAGGGTTTACAAGCTAAAGGATGGCTGTGTGGCAACAATAAAAACAAACACACACTATTTTTTTTTTAATTTTTTTTTAAAGATTTTTTATTTATTTGAGAGAGAGAGAATGAGAGAGAGCACGAGAGGGAAGAGGGTCAGAGGGAGAAAACACACACTATTTTTTAAAACAATTCTTATTTACTATTAAGTGGCTTATTGCAATTTACTTTCAGTCCAGAATAAAATGAGGACAAATATCGAAGAGTTTATCCATTTCTTTCTTATTAATAATAACCAAAGTTAAATTAACAAGTCTATTGTAACCTATTTTTAAAATAGTTTTTTAAAAATGTTTTTAATATAAACTTATTAGTTAAAATTTAAGATGAATTTAAAGCAGGAAAGATATTGATTTATCATACAATAAGCAATATTCAAATAGAAGCCACCTACCTGGAAGACTAAATCTGGAATATCTTTGTCATAAAGGGGTATTTGCTGCAGAAGGAAAATGTCTAATTGACCTGCATTTCTAAGTTGCAATAGCTGGAAACGTTTACTCTTTCTCATGTCTTCTTCAGAAACAAAGTTAAATTCATCCTGCAACTGTTCAAGACGAAAAGATTTTGGAATATCCTGTCCTTTATGTGTCACGTACTATAAAACATAAATAATAGAGCCTTTACTTAAAAGATTGATTTTTTAAAATTTGAGAATTATTTCAAAACACTTTTTTCCCCTCAACTGTGAGATGTCAGAGTTTCCATATATGTAGGAAAAGGAGCAATGAATCTGTACAGAGATAGAATCTGGAAAAAAAAAAAGAAAAGAAAAGAAAAAATAGAATCCAGCCTACATAGCTTTCCAACCTTTTCCTGGTCATGACTGAAATGAAAAATGAAAATATTTATATTTCACACTGGGTTAAAAGATGAGACTATTCGTATCTGTTTGCCATAAATGTTGAGAAAGGATCAATATTTCTGTATACTTGTAACTAACAGAGCACTTTAGTTGGGAAGCTCTGATCCAGGGAAGCTTAACTGCAATAATCTATGCATCGTTTTATTCAATAAATGCAAATGTGTGTACATGGTACATGCCAGGAAGAGTGCTAGCTACCAAAGATTTATTCACTGTAGTTCTATAAGGAAAGATAAAACGCAGAATGAATAGCTACTGTAAAGGGCAGAATGATATCAGAGTCATAGAAGCTATAAAAAGGAAAAAAGTTAACAGGAGGGAATGGAAAGAAGGGCCCATATCTAACCGAGTTTATCAGGGAAACCTTTATCAGACTTGCAGGCTACCAAGATAGCCACCTAGGGTGCCCTTCTAGGCAGAGGGAATGACATGAACAAAGGTATGAAGAATGCATGTTTGAAGCACACAGAGCAGTTCAGGCGGTTATAAGAAAGAATAGGAGAAGTGAACAGTTAATGGAGTCATTGAGGCAAGGAATGTGTCTATAAATCATCTTTATTTCCCTAGCATCTATAATACCATGGGGACTCTGTAGTTGTACAAGACATGCTAGCCTGACGTTTAGCCTATAGGATGCCCGGCAGGTTGCTAAGTAACGGCAGAGTACCAACCATCAGGCCTAAAGTAGCAATTATTTCAGTTGTTGAATTTCTAACTGCCTTTACAATACTGTAAAACTGGTTGAAAATCGTATCTGTCCTCAGATTTATCTTTATATGCCTCCTGGTGCCTAGAAAAACTGAAGTATAAGGGGGTAGACCTTAGGAAATAGAATATACAGTACTGATATTTGCTATAACTTACCATAATAAATTCCATTAAATCAGAATATTCTGGATTATTTGGATCAATTTTTACTTCATTTGCCCACTCAAAAAGCTTCTGTGCATTAATGAGCCATGGAATTCCAGGAACCCCTCTTGCATCTACATTCCTTAACACACTAACAAAGAGAAAAATATCTTGTGAATTTGCATACAATATCTAAGTTATACATCTGTTATACAGGGTAAAACCTACCCATTCCAGGTAGTTAAAGATAAAACCTATGCATCCTCTGCATTTCAGGATAAAACAGAAGATTTAGATGTGATATCACTCTTGGTTCTTCTCACATTCTAATTTGTATCCTAGCTTTTTGATAAATGTCTACCCCTTCCCTTAAGAGACAGTAAGCTTCTTAAGGGTAAAGTCTGTAAATATCCTTCTTTGCCATCTCCACCTGGTGTAGTAGCTAAAACATAGTAGATGCTGAAGGGAATAGTGCTTGCTGAATGTACTTTGTAAACCCTGAGGATAGTAACTTGTTAAATATTTTCTTTCCATAGGATGTACAATATTACAATTTAATCAAGATGTTAGCTCTGGCAAAATTAATAAAGTCCACAACATAAAAAGAATCTTCAGGCTCGATCTATACAATTGAAACATAATACAGAGTAATACAATTAACTGGGAAGTATTCTGCCAGAAGAGTATCTCTGTTTGGTCACATATGGCTGTCTTAAGAAGTTGGAGAGCTGTAACAGTCTAGACTCATAATTCATCCTTGGTGGGACCTCAGCTATAGGCTAAGTGAAGAAGAAATTCAACCCTAAACAGTAAGGATTTCTTGAAAACCATCAATTATCCCAGTTATTTAGTCTCTCTCTTCATAGAAAATTTGCCTCATCATGTATAATTACAGGGACTTGGACTAGAAAATCTCCAAGATCCTTTCTATAAATTAATTCAAGAAACATTCCAGTCCATAAACTGGGAGTCCAGAAATACAGTTCTGACTCAGATTCAATAATGTCTTAACCCAAACGTGGACACTATCTTATACTGTCTACTTTCCATCAGCATCTATTCATATTTCTATGATGAATCTTGGGAAGCTATTGCTAACAAAGTCAATGCCTAGTATGACAGGATATAAGCAAAACTACAAGTAGGTGAAGTATGAGTATTCTTTCTTTCTTTACTTCCTATTTCTGTCCTTATATTTGAACTGTTTTTGATATCTTTGTCACAAGAGATCTCTAGGGCCTGAGATCTGATTTCTTACACCATCATGTAAGAAATTTTCCTTCTCATAGGAAGAGTCCTAGCCCAGGTCACAAAGCCTGAGGCAAAGCTTACATGTTAATTAACAGATCAGGGAGGGAAACTTACCCAGTTATAGCCTTAAAATAAAAAAGAAGTTGTAAATGGATTTCAATGTACTCCCACGATTTCTGCCTTAGGGAAGGTAATAAAGACCTCAGAACATCTCGTGCCTTTACTACAATAATTCCTCCAGCCACCCCTATAGGTGTTCAGCTATGGGCTATGACAAAATCCCTCTGCCACCTGTACTCCCTTCTCCACAACCAAATGCCAAGCAAGGAACACAATTCAGTGGCATTCAGTACACTCACGGTGTTGTACAACCACCATCGCTACCCTATTTCCAGAATTTTTAACATTCCAAACAGAAACTCTGTTAAACAACAGCTCCGCATTCCTCCCTACCCCCAACCGCTGGCTTTGTGTCTCTATGAATTAAGGGGAAAAAAAAGTAAAGTTATTAGGGAGGAAAGACAGACTGTCTACAAAACACCAACATGGCAGACTTTTAAAAAGGAATAATAAATCCCAGAAGATTAAGCAATGATAGCTTGAAAGTGTCAAGGGAAAATAAGTATCAACCTCAGATGTTACACCTAAACTATTATTCAAGAATGAGGACAAAATTAAGATATTTCAGATATACAAAAACTAAACAAATTTGCTAGCCACAGAGGCTGACTGAAAGAATCAATAAAGGAGCAGATTTTCATCAAGAAAAGTAAATGTAGAATGAAAGTGTGGAAGATAAAGAGGTGCAAACACAAAAGTCAATTAACCATGTCAGAAAGTTTCATTAACTAGTGAGCATAAGAGAATGGTTTATATTTTAAAAATGTTTTAAATGAAAACTCTGGACAATAATCACTGAGATTCGAGAAGTGTGCTCAATGTGGTATTAAAGTATTCCAAGATCTTTTGGTTCACTGCTTCATCTCAAGCTCATCGATGAATGAATAAATGAATGAGCAAATCAGAGAATTACATGAATACTTTCTTTTGGATCTTCTTGCTCTGAAGGATAGCTCCAAGCTCTGACTCTCACAAGTCAGCCCTGCCTTTTGGAGCACCCATCCCAGGTTCCTGGAACCCGGGGTCTGCACCAGCTCTTGAACACCCACAACTGTAGAAGAGAGTTCTGGAACCAACCACTCGGATCACAGAGGCCCCAAATGTAAAGTTTTACTTCAAGTTAACTTCTTTAGAGAGTGCTCTGGACTTTGAAACCTCCTTTGCAATTCACTGCCTCTTGAAATCTGTCGTCTGTCCCAATCTTTCACAGAACTGCTTTCAATCTTTTGTAAACCTGAGTTCCCAAGTAAGTGGAACTGCTAACTGCAGCATCACAGAATCCGTTAGAGAAAAGACTTCAAGAAGCAAAATGATGAGGACAGGCCAATGAATCTGGCCAGAAGGTCACTGGTAGTGTTTGGGAATAAATGGGTTGAGTTAGGGAGGGAATGTGTGAATAAAAAGTGGAGGCTTTGTACACAGATCAGTAGACCACACAAATGAGGACTTGGACAGGAAAAACAGCCAAGACAGGCTTTCAGGGTTTAATCAAATGCTTGGGTTTTTCTTTGTTTTAAAACAAGGAAGGCTTCTAGAATACAAAAGACTAACAGCTTAGGGAAATGGAAGAGTTAAAGATAATGTAAGAAAAGGATATAAATATGTCATCAAGATCCTAAAGGAGACAAAGAAAAGTGCCTAATTACCTGTATAAAAGTTAGCTTTAGAGTAAGAAGAACAAATATTTGACTCCAAAAAGAAAGTGAAGAATAGTATGAGGAGGCAAAGATTGGAAATAGCTGCAGCGGGGACACTGCTGGGGAAAAACGAAGAAATACAAGCAAATAATGGTTCAGAGTTTTAAAAGCTTATTCACTAGCTCCAAAATGGATTATCTTTATTAATTGTCCATTTTTCTCTAAATGCCTTTATTCAGGTCTCTAAGAAGATGACCTTGTTTACTTAGCAAAACAAGGACATCATCAAAATTGCGTTCCTGTCTACACAGTGATTTCTGTTTCCTTCTCTGATTTAAAGAGGTATTTCCTCTTCTCTAGAGCCAAGCTATCACTTGCGTTCTGGTTCGATATCTTCTTGACTCTGAAGGATCTCATACTCTTTCTAATACATTCTGGCTCTTTTTCTATGGATTTCGTCACTTATTCTAAGAAGATAAAAAGTGCCCCAATTTTCAAGAAACCTATACTTTGATTCTATTGTCTCTCTTATTTTCAGCCTCTTTTTAAAACTTCTTGGTAAGTAATCTACATATACGACCTCAGCCTCTTCAACATCAATTGCTGAGTACTACTGACACTTTGTTTTTTTTCTCTAAAACTATTGCCAAGAAAAGCATTTATGAACACTTACTATGAATCTGGCCATATGCCACTGGCTTTATAGTGTTCTCATTGTTATTTTTAAAATAGTCTCTAATTTCAGTTTTGATTTCCTGTTTAATCCAAGTTATTTATAGCAATGTTTTAAATTTTAAAAATTATTTTTTTTCAGAACAAGACTGATCAGAAAGTGCAGTTTCCATATGTCCCCTCCCTGCCTCCAACCTGCAGTCTACTCTACTATCAATATTTGTACCAGAGTTATAATTTATTACATTCATTGCAATAAAAGAGTTGCATTTGTTATAATCAATGACTGACACATCAGCATCACTCAAAATCCACAGTTTATATTAGGGTTTACTCTTGGTGTTGTACATTCTATGGGTTTTGACGAATACGTAATGACATGTATCTACAATTATAGTATCATACAGAGAGTAGTTTCACTGCCCTAAAAATCCTGTGTGCTCTGCCTATCCATCCCTGTTTCCTCCTAACCCCTGGCAACCACTGATATTTTACTGTCTCCATAGTTCTGACTTTTCCATAATGTCATATAGTTTGGGTACAACAATTTTTTTAATTTAATTTAATCTTAATATGTTATGTTAGTCACCATACATCATTAGTTTTTGATGTGATGATCCATGATTCATTGTTTTCATATAACACCCAGTGCTCCATGCAGTACGTGCCCTCCTTAACACCCACCACCAGGCTCACCCATCCCCTCAACCACCCCCCAAAACCCTCAGTTTTATCTCAGAGTCCATAGTCTCTCATGGTTCATCTCCCCCTCCAATTTCCCTCCCTTCATTTTTCCCTTCCTTCTCCTAATGTCCTCCATGCTATTCTTTATGTTCCACAAATAAGTGAAACCATATGATAATTGACTTTCTCTGCTTGACTTATTTCACTTAGCATAATCTCCAGTCCCATCCATGTTGATGTAAAAGTTGGGTATTCATCCTTTCTGATGGCTGAGTAATATTCCATTGTATATATGGACCACATCAAAAAATATGTGGTTAGATGGGGAGGGAGAACCATCTTTTTGTTATCATCATTCTTTAATTTTTAAATGATGGAATCTACTTAGCCCTTTATATTTACTGTTTTATTCAAACACAGCATGATATATAAACCAGTATAACCATTTTTATAGATTTTTACTGTACTTAATTCTAGTAATCCTACTTGTGGTATGATCTAGAAATTAATCCTAAGTTCTCTAAGAAGTCCTAGGGCATAGAGTAAGATTTCTAGGATTTTTCTTCTAGCAAACTGATAATGCATAAATGATTCTTTCATAATCCAGAATGGCTGGGAGATACAAAGGATCCAGAAATAAAATCCTTAGGAGCCTTGGCCTTTGCCTGTAAGAGCTATGGAACCACTTCTCCCATCATCCATGTACCTATAAACCTAAGTATTAAAGAGATACATTCACTTACATGTAAATCCAAATGAAAATAAATAGTCCAAATCAACTAGACTGCTCTTACCACTGCTAGAGTTTTCCGTTTTACAGACACAGGTTCTGTGTGATGGTTTGCTGAAGACTGGCATTATTTTTCAAGCATAAAAATTTATTACCTGCAGTAAGCAGATCTTAATGACTGTGACATGGGTGTGCGAGGAATACCATTTTCATCTAAAGCCCACGATAGAGAGTAGCTCAGTTTTCCTGATGTCAAAAGACAAAGTTCCTCAGTTCCATTTCCCTCAAGAAGAAAAGGTACATCTGTTTATAAAAAGCATTAAACCATGAATTTTTAATAAGGCATAGAATTTGCACATGGTAGATTTTTTTCTCCCTGACTTGACTTGTGAAACCCCAGGCTGTTGTGTGGTGACCCCAGGCTCTAATCTCAAAACTCTCTCTCATTTTCCATCTATGGTACCTCAAGGCAGACCACTTCAAACAGACTACAAAACAGAGAGGAAAATATTGATCTGAAGACCTAGGGATGGACCCCTCTATTATACTCTTCTTACTACTAGAAGCTTTTTTAACCATTCTTTCTGGAAGTGGCTTCCAGCAGGAAAGGACTGCCGGCCGCGGAGCTAGAGGCAAAAACCAGCCACTACTCTGTCCTCTTTCCCTCTAGCCGGGAGTCTCCCCCTCTGTCCATTTTCTTTCTCAGTCTGCGGAGAGCTTAACAATACTCCTCGAAACTTCTGCCGAGTTCCTGGGGCTCCTTAAATTTTTTGCCCTAAGTCTTTTCTCCTGGGCTCCCACAACCCTATTTTCTCGCTTCAGCTGGACTAAGCAAACTACATTCCTGTCTTATTCCTGTCCTTCCCAGGCTTTTTTGCTTACTCATTTCCTTTTCTCTCATTGCTCATTTGTTCGTACTTCCTTTTCACTTGTTCGTACACAAGCAGCTGTGAAACTCCTATTTAGGAAGGTGAAAGAAGGTATCTGGGGGAGGAGAGGAATGGAGGTGTTCTCGCACACACGCTAACTTGAATTTCACTGCATGAGGAGTGAAATCAATTGAAAAACAAGTGAACAGAAACACCCCTTCTTCCTTCTCTCCTTTTCTTTCACTCCTCCTCTACCTCCCTTCTCTATTCAGCTCAAAGATGCATCAAAACGTCCCATCCCGTCCCATCTCGGAGCATCTTTAGGCTTCGCTAAAGGACAGGCAGAAGCAGAGTAGTCTCTCTACTCAGAAGCAGAGCTCCTGGTCCACAGAGTGTAGTGCTCTTCTCTCAGGTGATTTAGGAAAAGCACGGGTGCCAATTCCAAATTTTAGATTTCCCAAAGATCTGATTCAAGACAGTTTTAAAAATGTTAGTTTAACATCTGAAAGGAGAATTTAATACACTTGAAACCTAATACTGTAAACACAATGCTCTTTATTCACATAAATGACCCAGGGTCAGGTACAACATGGAACTCATGAAGAGAATGAAGGTGGGGAGGGGGACATGTTAAATAAACTTACTGCTTCCTACTTCTCCATATGCAGGTATGACGAGCTCATCAGAGCTAAACTCTACATATTCCAAAACAGTTTTGCTTTTCAACTCTGCGTTGTTAGGTAAAGGTAAATATAGTTTTGCCAATAAGCTTGTCCTTTTACTTATCTCATAAATCTAAATATAAAAGAAATGGTTGATAGGTCACTCAACATACAAAATGGGGGGGAGCTAAAATGAGAACCCTCAATTAACACATTTTTATTCCTTTTGAAAAATACTAGCATATAAAATAGGTATTTTTCTAGAGCATTTCATCCACATGATTATGAGAAAGGAGATAATCCTAAGTCCTTAAAAATAAAATGCCTTTTACTGGTTTCAAAGAAAATAAGTTGAATTAAAGGATAACAAATATATTCTGAGCATATAGGTACATATAACACAATAACCCCCAAAATTACTTTTGTATAGCACTTTTAAAGTTCTTTATCTCATTTAAGCCTGATAAAAATGATTAGGAAATAGGTATTACTTTTCTAATTTTATAAATGAAGAAATTGAGTCTCTATATGAAACTACATTCATAGAAATTCAGGTTGAATTGCTCAGGAAAAGGGGAGATTCATTGGCTCATAGGATCAGAGGAGAAGTTAAGTAAGCTGTGGGCGGCAGGGAAGGGAGAAAGAGTCCCGGAAGAAGGAGTAAGGGAGGGGCTGAGTAGACAGCTCCATAGATGTCTACTGGATACTAAACCCAGGTCTTCTGATTCTGTATGCTCTTCTTTCTACTACCATTCCATCAAATCCAGTCAAATCTGCTTTCTGGGACCACAGGGCTGGAGGCCCGATCCTGGATAGTAAATGTAAAGGTAGAGAATTCCGCCTCCATAAGTGAAGTCTCCTGGGAGAGCCTTGTCCCCTGATGGCAGCTCTCAAAGCCATTGTGTGGCTGGAATGGAGTGTCAAGAATGAAAATGGGCCTTGTAAGAGGGAGAACTAGAATGTTCAAAAGCTCAGAAGTAGGAAATTGCAAGGATATATGGGGAAAAAAATCAAGCAGTTCAGTTTGGCTAAAGTGAAAAATGAATAAAGAGAAATGATAAGGAGTAAATTCAAAATGTAGGTCAGAATCTGTTAGGTTAGGGCATATAGATTTATTTTGTAATTTTTGCAGTTGCTCATGGTGTACTTTATCCCTAGCTAGATTCCTTTCTTTCCCTGCCTCTTAGTTTGCTACGATCATGTTCTAAGTGGTAGGATGATGAAGGATTCAAAATACACATTTATCTCCTTGGAGTGAGGGCAAGTTTTATACTTCAAGTGGTTGGATATTACATCACAACTTATTTTAGGTACAATAGGAAAGTATATTCAGTATATTTTTTAAGTAGGAATTTCAACAGAGGCACATTGTAAGATGACAGAAACTTGACAGTATACATGAGCAAAATGAATGTAGCCTCTGATCAGGGACAGAAAAAATTATTTTAGGTATTGTAAAAATACCTTTGATTTAGATTTGTAATTATAATTCTCTCCCTCCTCCCCAAACCTCACTCTATCTTTATTTCCTCCTAACTTTCCTTTCAGGTCTAACTGCAAGTTTAACCCCTATGTTAGCCATCAAGACTTCTTATCTAGCCTCCTTTAATGTCTCTAATTTTTCTCCATTGTCCTATTTTTCCTTCCTTTAGTGCAGGGGTTCTTATGGTGGGGTCTTTTGATAGGAATCAGTAGTCTGTTATGTGTATGTTCTTTCATCAGATTCTTAAAGTGATACAAAACATAAATGAACAAATGAATGAATGAATGAATGAAATACACACATATATACACACAAATTCAGCAAGATACTGAAATCACTAAGTCAGGGCTGAGACAATTTGGAGAAATCATTCAACACTAACAATAGCTATGCTACACGTTATAGTTTAAATAACCCTCTTCCATCACACTAGCAAATGAACAGTAGTGCTGCACATCCAGGGTTGATAGGAATTTTAGCAGGAGAGAATGGAAGTATTAGAACCACCACAAATCAAATAATTTTGTACTTGTAGCATAAAAGACTATTGCTGAGTTATAAATACATTATTTATAAGTATCTTGCCTACCCATATAGATCAGTCATCTCTAAATAGAAATTACTTGTCACATATAACAGTAACTAACGAGAAATTTAAAATTACAAATGGCATAAAATAAGATACAAAAGTAAATGACAATGGCATACCTCCAAGCAAATTGTTTCAGGCCAGTATATTAACTGAATATTGAAAATTTGCTGGAACATGACTTTAAAATCAAACTGAAGAGGAGATACTGAAGTGCAAGAAACCTGTTTATTGTTGTATAATATTTTAATAAAATACTTAAGCTTCTGAATTTTGGCTCTCCTCTTTTGTTCGTGCCTAAAAATTAAATAAATCTTTAAAGGATCTTTGAAAAACAAAATGGATACAAAATATTGTTCTTTTCAAAATGCACCTAAGCATGTTAAAATATGACCATTTTAGAGGACAAATGCTATCTTAAAGCTCAATAACGCTTGCTTATGTGTAGATAAAAGCCTCTCCTACTCGAACGTTTTTTTAAAAAAGATATTTACTCAAAAATAGAGAGAGAACTAAAATCAAGGTACTATAAATCACTCGGCAATTTATTTTACTAAATTGAAACTTAAAGAGATTCTGGCACTTACCCATTGTAAGATGTCTTATAAAAGGAGAAAACTGAGGGACTTAGGAATGGGGGGGAGCGTGAATTAAAAATTTGAAAATATTTTCTAACTTCTAGAAGAAAGACACACTTTTAAAAGAAATATGCCATATTTTCAGTAACCTCACTGAGGTGGCTCTCAGTCAACAGGCTTGCTGTGTCCTCTTTAAGGTCTTTAAAAATCCCTTTAGGCTTTAGGTTGTACATTCTTTTTCTCCAGGACATTCTTTCTCTAACCGCAAAGATCAGAGAGGCAAGCCAGATTCCCCAGGGTTTCTATGAAACACTTGCTCGGAAATAAACTGATCCCTTAAGTGATAGGAAACTCCTAAAGAGAGTCTTCTAGCCATTCATTCATTTGCTCATTCACCCAACATTTATTGAATACTTTCTCAGCTGCAAGGCAACTGACCTAATGATGTTCAGGACTTCTCTTTTTCAGAAAGATAAGCTCTAGGTTGAAACACAACATGCCCTTCTGTTCTCCACCCTAATTGTCCTAGGCATCCACTATCTCCTGGCGCCCAAATCTGCCCATGTTCTCTGTAACCTTTTCAGAGGGTTAGGAGATGAAAGATTACTTTTTTTTTTCCTTTTTAAAGATTTTATTTATCCATTTGACAGAGAGAAACACAGCGAGAGAGGGAACACAAGCAGGGGGAGTGGGGGAGGGAGAAGCAGGCTTCCCATGGAGCAGGAAGCCCGATGCGGGGCTCGATCCCAAGACCCCAATATCACGACCTGAGTCGAAGGCAGACACTTAACGACTGAGCCACCCAGGCGCCCCGAAAGATTACTTATTTTCCCTATCTCCCTGTTGGCCTCTTCTAACCATCTTCTCAATTAACTCTAAAGAAATATGTTAGGTACATTTCCCCTTTATGTTGCCCTCTGAAAGTAGTTTTAATAATGAGCTCATGAACTGATTATGAAAATTCATTAATTCAGGATTATATTTATCCTTAGGAAATCTTGCCTTTTTCATCACCTATAAACTCTTCATAATTCTTCTTTAATCCCTGTATTCCCTTCATCTCTATCCTTGCCATCAGTATATTCTTCTTTCCTAGAGAATCGATCCTTACTCAACCAGACATCTTAAATGGATAAAGACAGCAACGCCTCACAACGGCAATAACTTTGAAAAGACAGACACATTCCATTTCCTTTTGCCTTGACCTCCTCTCAGTTTTCGCCTCCATTTATCTTCCTCCTTCTCTTACCGCTCTTTACTTCTAACTTCCATTTTATGGCTCTTGTTTTCTTATCCTCATGTAGGTGGTCCTTTTGGATGCATGTCTCACATAATAATTATCTCAGGCCCTCTTGGGAAGTAGGCGCAGAACAAACAAAGCCTTCCTCCACTGGTGCACTTTGCTGGTCAGAAAGAGAGCAGCCGTAACTGTGCTTTTGTGTCTGCTACTCTTTATGTCATTTTAAATCTAATTATCCATCCAATCATTTCATAAATATGAATATTTTGGGGGCATTTACCACTCTCCAACACTGTGCTAAATGATGCACATTCACAATACTCAAAGATGAATTGGTACAAAGTGTCCCATGGGACAGGGATGTTGAAAAGTTGGACTTCAGTTCAGCGTTGTAAGTTGTCATATCCTCTTTAAAGGAGATGAGATCCATAGGCCCAGAGATGGGAGAAATGGGGATCTATATTAGATCTGTTTTTGCATGAAAGTCCTAGGACTAGGGAGAAAACAGCTCAAGGAAAAAGTCACAACTGGGAAGGAAAGAAGTCTGTGTCAAAGTAGAAAATTGCCCAGAGGATCCTCCAGATAACAGAATACTTTTTATGAAAGCAAGAGGTCCCCTTGGTAAGCAAGGGCAACCACATAACCTTATTTTTTACAGTGGCTTCATATCCTATCTATATCTGAACAAAAATTACTGCCATAGCAAAACAAAACAAAACAAAAAAACAATCATTAAACCAAACAGGTTTATGTCCTACCTCAGTCATGAATTAGAAGTGTGACCCTGGACAATTTACCCTTCCATAAGCATAAATTCCCCCATCTCTAAGATGAAGATAATACCACAGAGCTATGGTTGCAATTAAATGTGCAAATGTATTTAAAAACTTAGTAAAGTGCCCAGCTATGGTACTCACTCAAGAAATCTAACACTATTATTAAAACAATACAATAAAGAGATACTACATAATGAAGAAATAATCCTTTAAAATGCTTACAGTGAACACTTGGATAAGTTTGTTAATTCTGCAGTGAAAGAGAGTTGTGGCATCAAGGTAATTGGCCTTATTCTTTTAATATCTGATTCTTCAAGTTCTGAAGCTGAATATGAGAAGCTCTAGAAACCAAAATATAAATATGTAATTTACAATGTAAGTTCACTGCTCAAGACAACCATTCTTAAAATTAAACTTTTATTTCTTATGTTTGTCATTTTGTTGGGTAACTGTTACAAATACCAAGACTTCCTATTCTACCAAGCAATTAAATATTATAACCAGTTAAGAGGAGTTGAACGTTATTTTGCAATATAAATACCTGTTTTTCCCCATTCTTCAATGCTTTTCCTTCAGTTTTCTTCTCAGTTTCAGACATTTCTAACAGTTCTTCTTGGTTTGGTTCATCACATTTATTCATTTTTATCCTAATTAATAATAAATATAATTATTTGAAGCAGAAATAGTGGAAGTATTTGAGATTTGTTACTGGTGTTGCTAACACACATATACACGTACGACCAATTGCTTACAACAAATAATTTTACATCCCAAGGACGACAGTAGTGAGAATAAGAGTGAGTGGTGAGCAGGCACAGGCCCAGGGCTACAGTTCCGAACAAGCTTATGGCATCCATGGCTCTCCTTTTCTGTGGAAAAGGAGAGGCTTTATAAGAAAGTGCCACACTGTTTTCAAATGGCTGTTAACATTTGCATTCCCATCAGCAATCAATGAGAGTTCCTGTTGCTCAATATCCTTGTCAGTATTTGTTATTGTTTTTTAAATTTCGTTTTGTTTTGGATTTTAGTCATTCTAAATGGTGTGTGGTATATTCACATTGTGGTTTTATTTATTTATTTTTTTTTTAAGATTTTATTTATTTATTTGACTGAGAGAGACACAGCGAGAGAGGGAACACAAGCAGGGGGAGAAGCAGGCTTCCTGCGGAGCAGGGAGCCCGATGCGGGGCTCGATCCCAGGACCCTGGGATCATGACCTGAGCTGAAGGCAGATGCTTAACGACTGAGCCACCCAGGCACCCCTCACCTTGTGGTTTTAATTTACATTCCTTTATTGACAGGATATGATGCTGAACTTCTTTTCATGTTTGCATTTGCCATCCATATGCCTTCTTTAGTGAAGTGTCTGTTCAAATCTTTTGCCCATTTTAAAAATTGAGTTGTCTTATTAAGTTATAAGAATTATTCATATATTCAAGGTACAAGTCCTTTGTTGACTACATTAAATAGCTGTCTAGCCTCTGGATTTTCTCCCAGTGACTGTGAATTCCCAGTTATCTGTGGGCAGTTCCTCGGGAGCCCTCTAAGAACAAATAGACAAGCCACTCACCTTTGAAACTGTAACTTTACTGGGGTGCTTGTAAACCCCTGCCGTTGTCGAAGGGATTTTATTTGTTTCCAAGTCCGTAATATACTGTGTAATAGAGAGGAGTCTTTTCCCCTTTCTAACTCATAGCGCTGTTTTGTATTACTACAACAATAAAGGTAGATCAAAAATACATTGGTGGATTAGAACTATAAATCATTAAAAATGGCCTGGGAGAATGTAACTAACTCTTCTGGATACCCCCACCTTATGATTTTTTTTTTTTATTTTACCCACATCTTGATATAGCTACTGAAATTCCATTAATTAATTCCTTTATGACTTGAAGATTTTTCACTATTCAAAAGTCCTCTGCTAAAATCCAGACTTTTCCAGATGATCTGGTCATTCTGGAGTGTATTTATTATACATTTTTCAGATTAACAATTGAAACCATTGCCTCAAATCTAGAGGTACTTTGCTGGATGGGGTAGTGATCATATTATTTGGATATTGAGGTAATATACTGTTTCAAAAGATGCTTATTCTGTTTCATGACTTTACAAACACACTATTAGTATGACAAATTACGCTAATTGACTTTCTAATGTTAAATCATCCTTGTACTCCTGGAATGATCCCAATTTCACTGTATTATTTGATAGAATTCTGCTTAGCATATTTGTAACTATGTTTATGAATGAAATTGGGTTGCAACAGTTTTTGTATTGTTATCAAGTTTTAATTTCAAGGATAAAACAACCTCAGAAATGAAGTTAAGAATGTGGCCTCTTTTTCTATTCTTTGAATTTGTGAAAATAGAAGTTATCTTTAAATCAGAGGCTCCCAACCTTTCCTATATTAGAATCACCAGAGGGCCTGCTGAACACAGATTGCCAAGCCCCACCCCCAGAATTTCAGATTCAATAAGGCTGTGGTGGACCTGGTAATTTGCATTTTTAACAGGTTTCCAGATGAAGCTGATGCTGCTGGTCTGGGGAACCATATTTTGAGAATCACTGTTTTAAATGTTCTACAGAATCCTAATTTTGTCATCTGAGCCTCGAGTTTTCTTTGCAGAAAGATTTCAAATTACCGATTTGATTTCTTTAACAATGATTGAACTACTTAGGGTTTTTCTTCTTCTCCTTCTCCTTCTCTCACTTGTTGGATATATGTTTTTTTTTTTAAGATTTTATTTATTTATTTTAGAGAGAGAGAAAGAGACAGCACAAGCGGGAGGAGCAGAGGGAAAGGGAGAGAGAATCCTCAAGCAGGCTCCCCGCTGAGCGCAGAGCCCAACATGGGGCTCTACCTCATGACCCTAAGATCATGACCTGAGCCAAGATCAAGAGTCAATGCTCCACCGACTGAGCCACCCATGCACCCCAATTCTGGTTGTATTTTTGTACAAATTTGTCCCTTCCATGTAAATGTTCACATTCTTAGGCATGAAGTTTTTCAAAGTATACAGCATGTGTAATAATGTCCCCCTTTCCTTCCTGATATTGTAAATGTATATTTGTGCTGTTTCTTTTCTTTTTTAAAAAAAAAGATTTTATTTATTTATTTGAGAGAGAGTGAGTGAGAGAGAGCACAAGCAGGGGGAGGGGCAGAGGAAGAGGGAGAAGCAGGCTCCCCACCAAGCAGGGAACCCGATGTAGGGCTCGATCCCAGGGCCCTGGGATCATGACCTGGGCTGAAGGCAGACGCTTAAACAACTGAACCACCCAGGCACCCCATGCTGTTTCTTTTCTTGATCAGCTTTGCCAAAGTTTATCAATTTTTACCAAACATTTGAGTTTACTGATTCTATCATAGCTCTCTTAATTTCTGCTCTTTATTTCCTTCTATCCTTTTTCCTAACTTAAGAATGCTTAGCTCATTAATTTTCAACCTTTCCTTTTTTCTCTCATGTGTATTTAAATAAATAAATTTTCCTCTAAGTACTATTTTAACTGTACCACAAATTTTCATATATATTAATTTTTAATCAGTAAATTAAAAATCTTTCCTAATTATCAATATATCTTCTCTGAAAAATAGATTATTTAGACATATATTTCTTAATTTCCAATCATATAGAGATTTCTTAGCTATATTTTTGTATTCGATTTCTTTCTACATTGAATGATTTAAATCCATTGAATATATTGAGACCTTGAGATTTATTGAAATAACAGAATATCAACTTTTGTAAATGTTCCCTGTGTTCTTGAAGAGAGTGGCATTTTGCAGCTGTTGGGTACAACATTCTCTAACTATATATTAAGCCAAGTTTATTCATCATGTTGTTCAAATCTTTTATAGCCATACTGAATTTTTTTGGCCTACTTGTCCCATCATTTACTGAGAGGAGTGTGTAAATATTGCCCAGTAAGTTTATGAATTTGCTATTTCTCCTTGCACTTCTATCAATTTTGCTTTATTTATTTATTTTAGATTTTTTTTAATTTATTTCTTCATAAGAGACAGAGAGAGAGAGAAGGAGAGGGAGAAGCAGGCTCCCCGCTGAGCAGGGAGCCTGATGCGGGACTCAATCCCAGGAACCTGGGATCATGACCTGAGCCGAAGGCAGAGACTTAACCATCTGAGCCACCCAGGCACCCGCTTTATTTATTTTGAAGCCATTTTATTATATGCATATATGTATATATGTGTATATGCACATATATGAATATATGTTAATTAAACTGCATCATTTTGATGTGGCCCTCTTCAGATCTAGTAAAGCTTTTTGCCTTTAACGATCTATTTTACTTTATATTGATATAGCTATGCCATCTTTATTTTGTCAGTGTTTGTGTGATTTTTTTTCCATTATTTCTGTTCTCTAACTTTTTATATCCTTATGATCTAGATAAGTCTCTTATAGATAACATATAATTGGATTTTGGTTTGGGATTTTTTTCTCTTTTTAAAACATTTTTTACTGAAGTATAGTTAACACACAATGTTACATTAGCTTCAGGTGTACAACATAGTGATTCTACAATTCTAGAAGTTATGCTATGCTCATCACAAGTGTAGCTGTCACCATACAACACTAGTACAATACCATGGACTATATTCCCCATGCTTTACCTTTTATCCCCATGACTTATTCATTCCATAACTAGAAGCCTAGAACTCCCACTCCCCTTCACCCATTTCCTCAACTCCCCACCGCTCTCCCCTCTGGCAACCACCGGTTTGCTGTCTAGATTTATGGGTCTCTTTCTGCTTTTTTTTCATTTGTTTTTTTTAATATATATATATTTTAAAGATTTTATTTATTTATTTGACAGAGAGAGACACAGCGAGAGAGGGAACACAAGCAGGGGGAGTGGGAGAGGGAGAAGCAGGCTTCCCGCAGAAGAGAGAGCCCAATGCGGGGCTCGATCCCAAGACCCTGGGGATCATGACCTGAGCTGAAGGCAGCCGCTTAACGACTGAGCCACTCAGGCGCTCCATTTATTTGTTTGTTTTTAGATTCCATATATAAGTGAAGTCATGGTATTTGTGTTTATCCATCAGACTTACTTCACTTAGCATAATACCCTCTAGGTCCACCCATGTTGTCACAAATGGCAAAATCTCATTCTTTTTTATGGCTGAGTAATATTCCATTCTGTATATATACCACATCTTATTTATTCACTCATCTAATGATGGACACTTAGGTTGCTTCCATATAGATTTTTTAAAGTTTTAATCCAGTCTATCAGTCTAGACAAAAATGGAACACTTAGCCTATTTAGATATATTTAGGTTTAACTCCATTTTCTTTTATGTTTTCTACTTGTCTCATCTGCTTCTATGTTCCTTTTTCTCTCTTTTCTTGCTTTCCTTTCAAATGTTTGAATATTTCTATATTGTCTTTTTCCTCTTATATTGATTTGAGACATATATCTTTTTTCTTTTTTTTTTTCAAAGATTTTATTTATTTATTTGACAGAGAGACACAGCAAGAGAGGGTACACAAGCAGGGGGAGTGGGAGAGGGAGAAGCAGGTTTCCCGCTGAGCAGAGAGCCCAATGTGGGGCTTGATCCCAGGACGCTGGGATCATGACCTGAGCTGAAGGCAGACGCTTAATGACTGAGCCACCTAGGAGTCCCTAACATGTGGTTTTTTTAATCAATTGATATTAAAATTACAACTACTTTGATGTGACACTTCTACAAAATATTTTTACACAAAACTGGGTCTAAAGGAAAGGTTGGAGCCATTTCTGTAATTGCCTAAAGAGTAGGGACCTTCTTTTTTTCTTATTTTATATCCTCCATAGCAAGTGCAATACTCAGTTTAAAGAAGTTACTTGATAAATACATTCATGGTCCCAAACCTACCTTATCTGCCAATAATAATCTTGTAAAGATTTTTTGGTCAGTTGGCTTATTTCCAAATTTTCGTTTGCTAATTTGGTAGCATCTGTCAGTGCTTTCAGCTACAACAAAAAAAAGAGCTTTTCGTATATTCCATCCACTGTTACTAGCACTCCAATTTCTCCAAAGGTCTAGGTGTATGCAGCAGAAGCACAACTGTATAACTTTTTGTGTAAGACTGTCTTATCTTCCAAAATATAATTCACATAAGCACCTTGGGGTAGAACTGAGAAGAGCCTCGATATCTAAGAAATAAACATTATACCTAGAACTTTCTAGGTAATCAGTTCCTCAATTGATGTAAAAAATGCCAATCAATCAAGATGGAAGATTGAGCCTAGGAATCTACCTTATCTTTCACCTAAAATCCTATGGTTACAGAAAAAATAGCTGTTTATCTGTCTTTATCCATATCCACTGCCAACATTACATCCATATCTATACATGTATATTTATAACTGTGTTTATATCTCTCTATAAAAATAAATGCATAACAACATAGGAAAATAAGAAAAAATAAAATCAAGAGAAAACGATATGCTGAGGAAAGCATAAGACAGAAATATCCTCAGAGAATGTCCATACAGAAATAAAACTGGAGGAACCTGTACCCTAAAACATGTGTAGGAGAAATGTGACATAGTTAGGAACAGTTTGTAGGAACTCCAAGACTAGAGTCAATTAATATAAACTTTTACTGGAAGAAATCAGAGACGACCTCAACAAATAGGAAGACATACTATAGTTCTGGATGAGGGAACACAATTTTTATAAAGATAAAATTTCCTTCAAAATTAATATAATAATATAATGTAATCACAGTAAATATGGTAATAGAATTTTAAAAATAGAAGTTGACAGGCTAATTCTAAAGTTCATATGGACGATCAAATCTTTAAGACCATACAAAAACATTCTAGAAAAAGTGAGGAGTCCTTTGTTCCACTACATTATAACTTAATAATATAGTAATTAAAACAGGGCAGGACTAGGCCATTACGTCAATGGAATAAATAGTCCTTAATCTATGTAAATATGTGAAGCCAGTTTAAAATAAAGGCAGAATCTTAAATTAGTAGGAAATTATGGTGTTTGGATATTAGGCTAAACTTTTGGGGGAAAGAAACTGAATTGGAGCCCAATCCACAAGACACAAATATAAACTCTAGACAGAATAAAAGCCTAGAAATTATACATACACACACACGTATATTATTAGAAGAATATATAAGAAGATAACTATAATTTTGGTCTCTTAGACACTATTGGTTGCCCTTGAAAGGTCAATTTGTTTTTGGTTGGCAGAACCCCAATTTTGTTCAATTGCTTAATCATCTTCCATGTGTTTCAGAGGCAAACCCTGATTAGCCATTTGTAGCAATTTCATTCTTTTTGCTAGTGCTGGTTTAGGCATAATTATGTGATATAGTTCTAGCCAAAGAGACAGGAGGGGAAATCGCCCATACATGGGGGAAAGGCTGAAGAGGGTTCTCAAAGTCAGATACTATGCATACTGTGTGTCTGGTCAGCATGCCTTGAACTGGAACAGCCAGTTAGTCTACCTGCCAGGATCTAACCAAGTCAATTTGCTGAAGATGAACATTAGAAAGAGAAGAAAAAAGCTAGGGTTGTTGATGATATTGTTGAGCCACCAAATCAGCCAACCCTAAAGTTGCCCTAACTTGGGACTTGTGATATAGGAGGTAATACGTTTTCCTTATTGTTTAAAGCAATTGAGAGAGCATTTTCTGTGAATTGCAACCAAAGGCATGCTGACTGATACACCTGGGGTAGAGAAGGTCTTAGGAAGCAAATGACAAAACCTAATATACACAAGGGAAAAGATTGAAAGATTTGATCTCAGAAAAATTTTAATGTTTGCCAAGAGACACAAAAACTGAAACTAAAAAAGCAAGTAAATGAGAGGTACGAATTCATAAAAATAATCGGTGGGTACTCATTTGATTTCTTTTTTCTTTTTCCAAACTTTTATGTACCCTTTATGCTGTCATTGGATGACTGGGTTAATCATTCTCAGACCAAGACTTTTCACATTTTTTTTTAATTTTTTTATTGTTATGTTAATCACCATATATTACATCATTAGTTTTTGGTGTAAGACTTTTCACATTTTATATGAGATTCAAGATCTCTAATTTTTTTTTAAGATTTTATTTATTTATTTGACAGAGAGAGACACAGCGAGAGAGGGAACACAAGCAGGGGGAGTGGGAGAGGGAGAAGCAGGCTTCCCGCGGAGCAGAGAACCCGATGCGGGGCTTGATCCCAGGACCCTGAGATCATGACCCAAGCCAAAGGCAGACGCTTAACAACTGAGCCACCCAGGCGCCCCATCAAGATCTCGAATATTTTTATCAAAAATACTTTATTAGAAGACTTAAAACAACCATATGCCTCTTTTAACCTTTTCAAATACTCTTCTTGAATCATGGGACCAAGAATACCACTGATTAGTGAACCATTTATAAGTACTAAATATCCTGCAGGATATGTTTGAGGCTACCTCCCTGGCCAGTCAACACCCAGAGTTTCTTTTTAGAAAAACTGAAAGCAACTATTGTTCTAATTGGTTAAATATTTAAAATGCTAAGGGAATATGAGATAGCTTGCTCTGTATTATTTGTTTTCCCTTTCGATATTAAATGTTTAACTCTATAAATATAATGAAAGCCATTCTCACCTTCTCATAAAGCAGCTGAGGTAAATTCTGTTGCTGCCTGTCCTGGAAACACTCACAAAGTTGAAGCAGCCTAGCACATAATACTTGTTCTTGATTGAAGAGAGGATGATGGCTGAATTGGAAACCCACAATGTTGAGATCTAATTGGTACATTTCCCTTTGACCTTCCATTTTGTTCCTAATAGAGTTTTCCAGATCAGGTTTCACTGCCTTTTAAAGAAAAATATGTACACGATGTTAATTTGATTCTTTGTGTTTCTTTCGAAATTATAAATTTCCTTGTAAAAGTAACACATTAATTGTAAGAAAATTAAGGGATATGGTGAGCACTGTGAATTGTGTAAGACTGATGAATCACAGACCTGTACCCCTGAAACAAATAATACATTATATGTTAATAAGAAAAAGAAAGAAAGAAAATTAAGGGATATAGAAAGCAATAAACAATAATTTGGTCCTTCTTCCTTGAAATTGATTATGGCCCTTGATTTCATAAAATATATTTATATTACATCCACTTTATAATAATCTTGCTATGAATTATTGTCAGATACTTTACTGTTGTGTGCTGATAGAGTTTAGACTTTCAAGTTATAAGCCCTGCAACGATTTCCTATGGCAACACTATGACAAATGGTGTTTAGATCTGTTGGGTCAATAGTACAACTACCTTATGATTTAATAGTCATCTATGGGCCAGTGTTAAGTGGTAAACCCTTACTAAAACACTGTTCCTATGTGAATATATTGGTAATCCCCTGGAAAATTCCCTGGAGGGGCTCGGACCCTTCAAGCAAGCGCTAAGGAGACCATCTTTCTTTATACATGAGACTGTCTCCACTTATAATACAAAAAATACAAATAATATAAGCACTCATTGAGTGTTTACTATATGCTAAGCATTTGGATATGTGTTAGCAATTGACAGATTGCCCCTAAATTAGTTGAAGTCTGTGGGCCTTAAATTATATACAAAATGATTCAATTATGTTTTAGTACCCTATTCTGAATTTAAGCACATTTGTTTGAGTATGTATGTGACTTGTTTTCAGCAATGTAATTTGAGAGGGCTAATGGGTTACTTAGCATGTATAGTCTAGTTTGTGAATGCCTAGCCACTCCCAGTAAGATCCATGGCTGCATCCCCCTGAAAAAGACAGCACAAGCCCTCTCTCTGGACCAGTCTGGTGTAATAGAACATGATTTCCTGTCTGTGCCATTGCTATTACAACTGCTGTCACACTGAAAAACTGCTGTCCCACCTCTGCCTGGTATGGCAGATCCTCAAGGATGGCAGGTCACAGAATGATGCCTGCATTTCTCCCTCCTTACTCTCTCCTGAGCTAGGAATCTTCCCCTGTTTCCTCACTGCTTTGAGGGAAGGCAAGAGAAGAGTCATAAAATTTGTTTTTGTTTCATCCTTACTTTATAAATCTCTATTCTCTACGGAAGGACCAACTCAAGAGGGGAAAACCTGCTCTTGATTCCACTTATAAGATTTAGTCAATTGGTAGTAAAATAGTCCTTTACCAGGCATAAACACCAATGAAATAAACAGTTTTGGTGTTAAGCAACCAAATTATAAATAAACTTTTAAAAATTACAGTTCCTAAGCTAGAGAGGACTGTCTTATTGAGCAGATTCTGCAGTGATCAGTTAAGTGAGGGGATTAAGTGAACTTCTAGAACTAAGTTAGACTAAAAGCACAAAGATCTAGGAATAGTAAGTCAAAGGCCAGATAAATGCACAAAAATATCCAAGCTGATGACAAGTGTAAAATCTACGTAAACTCATAAGAGAATGTTAGAAGAGGGAGTAAAGGGCATAGTCAAATGGTCAGGCAAAACTCACACAGCCAAAGAAGACCGGGGGTGGAGGAACGTGGCAGAAGCAACAGCAAAGAGAGGACTTTGGTACTCGGGCAGCTCTTACCTGTGCTTCAGTCGCCCTTATATTTCATTTACTCTGGTGAGAAACCCCAAATGAGCCTTGCCTCTAAGGCTAGCTGGACAGAGTAACAAATGTGGAGAAGATAAAAGGGAAAAGCAGGCAGAGCATTTGACGCAAATTCCAGAACATCGTCTGTTAAGGATGCTACAGAATGAATTTTAATACTCAGTTTAGATGCTTGGTGAGTGACATTTCCATTTATTTCCAAGTCTAAAAGGTCCATGAAAAACTGAAATTATGCTTGGATGAAGCCAGAACAGATGCACTTAAGGAAAAAGGTACTTGTTCAGCCCAGTGGTTTCTAGTTTGGGATTCTGGTGGTTACAAAGGTCAATCTGGATGGTGGTTAATATTTCTCCAAAAATTGTATATTTTGCATTTATTTGTTATTATCTGATGGTTCATTCATTCACGCATGCATGCATGCATTTATTCATTCATTCAACAAACTGCCATTGTTTCAAGGATCTCTCTCCCTAAGAATGGTCTCAGTTATATAATTTTGTTAAAATATCTGTGCTTTATCTTCAGCAAAATTTAGATGAAACATATTGTCACCATAAGGTATAAAAGTTATGCCACATAATAGCAAAGAACAAGGTAAGATAAATACTAGGGATTTTCTCTCCTCCCTCTTTCATTCTTTTATTTTTATTTTTAATGGAGATGGGTGTTTTTAGTAACCAAACTGGAGAAAACAGAAAGATATTGCAATGTTGGGTGTGTATGTGTATTGGGGAGGGAGGGGGCTCATTTAGAAAATGTCAGTGAATGTGTTATATTATAAATTAGGATGGGGCAGAGACATTGCCAGTTTCTCATGGTATGACAGGCACCATGCAAAAAATAATCTTTTCTAAGATTATGCCAGTCAACTGAGGTCCTTCTCTTCTAATGTATACTAGGACCATAAAAGTCGCATTACATATAATATAAGCACTCATTGAGTGTCTACTATATGCTAAGCATTTGGATATGTGTTAGCAATTGACAAGAAAGAAGAAAGAAAGAAAGAAAAAAAAGAAAGAAAGAAAGAAAGAGAGAGAGAGAGAGAGAGAGAGAGAGAGAGAAAGAAAGAAAGAAAGAAAGAAAGAAAGAAAGAAAGAAAGAAAGAAAGAAAGAAAACCCTACTCTGCAGTCAAGCAGGAAAAAGATTAGGAAAACAGAAGACAAATATACAGACTGAGACTTAACAGAACTGCAACCCAGCTGAAATCAGTTAAGTCCCTAATTGGATTAAAATGATTATCCCCACACAATATGCGTAACAAAGCAAAGGACAGAACCTTTCTGAAAGAAGGTATCTTTAGAGCTTTTATAACTTTTCATATGTAATATTTGCAATACAATAGTCATAGACCTTGTCTTTTATTAAGACAAGTCTAAATGAGCAAAATGAAGAGGAAAAAAAATAAAAACAGACTCTCAGGAACCCAGATATTGTAGTTACTAGATATGGACTTTAAAGTGGCTATCATTAATGTGTTTTGTAAAAGAGAAAATACATGAAAACATGGCATATTCTAGGAGGAAACTGGAATATATACATAAGAATCAAATGTCAAATCAACATTTTAAAGCTAAAAATATACTGAAATTAAGAATTCATTAGACAGGTGATTCTGGGAATATGGTGGCACTATAGTTTTAGATAGTCCCAAATCTCTACCATTAAAGCATGTAGAGCAACTAGATAGCAAAGCCAAAAATCCACGGACAAGATCCATAACAAAACTACATCTCCAAGAATCCCTCATGAAACCCAAAATACAAGTGGATGGAGACAAACCACCAACAGTAGAAAGCTTGCATAGTGTTGGTGATTGTTTGGAAGAAATCAGAGAAGCAGTGAAGCATCTGAAGGTCCTGACAGCAGGAGAACCCAAAAGAGCCAACAGTTAGTTGCTCACCAGAAAGTGCAGCATGCCAACTCAAAAACAGCAGCTAAAACTGGAAGAGGTTTTGTCTGCTCCAACTGTGGGGAGTGCAAGGGCTTTTGGAGAGGAATAAAGGGGCTTAGAGGAATCTACTTCCTCAGAATTTTTAGGACAAGTCTTCACACTAAAGAGAAACTGCTAGGAGTGGAATAAAAATTGAGAAGGCCAGCGATCACAGAGATTAAGGAAAGAGAAGATACAAAAAAATATACGGGAAGGGAAATACAGCCAAGAAATTTCAGAAATCCAGCCCATATATATTTTTAACACTACACAAAAACAACATAGTTCTGTAACATTATTAGAAAAGCCATCGGGGGGGCCTGGGTTGCTCAGTTGGTTAAGCATTTGACTCTTGATTTCAGCTTAGGTCATGATCTCTGGGTCCTGGGATGGAGCCTTGCATCAGGCTCCCTGCTCAGCAGGGAGTCTGCTTGACATTCTCTCTCTCCATTTCCCTCTGCCCCTCCCCCTGTGTGCACTCTCTCTCTCTCTCTCTCTCAAATAAATGGATAAATCTTTAAAAAAAAAAAAGAGAGATAAGAAAAATGAATAGACAGCAAAATAATAACCCCATAAAGTACAACAGAAAGAAATCCAAAAACAGATAAAAAAAATAGAAATGGGGGTGCCTGGGTGGCTTAGATGGTTAAGCGTCTGCCTTTGGCTCTGGTCATGATCCCAGAGTCCTGGGATCGAGTCCCACATTGGGCTCCTGGCTCAGCGGGGAGCCTGCTTCTCCCTGTCCCTCTGCCTCTCCCCCTGCTCATGCTCTATCTCTGTGTCTCAAATGAATAAATAAAATATTAAAAAAAAATAGAAATGTACTTTCGAATGAGCTAAAAGACATTGAGAAAATTTTTATGACATTTAAGAACATAAATCAGAATTAGAAAAACAGAAATGAGGTGACAGAAAGTGACAGAAAGAATTAAAAATAAAAAAATATTTTAGAAATTAAGCCTAAAATAGAAGGAGCACAAGGGCAAAGAAACACCACAAAAATGGACTTTTTCTGAAGGTGAAGAGGGAGAAATCTTTCTAAATAAAAAAGAAATGAATAAAGAGAAAGAATTCATTGGATGGATTTAACAGGAGATAAAACAGAGCAGAAAATTAGATAAGTGAACTAGAAGACAGATCAAATAAAAAATATTCAGTCTAAAGATTGGAGAGAAGACAAGGAATAAAAAATAAAAAATAAAAGCAAAATAAGACACAAGGGACATGTGTACTTAAAGTCCCAGAACAAAAAGAGAAGACTGAGGTATCAGACATATTTGCTAAGAAAATGGCTGAGAATTTTTCTAAAACTGATGGAATCATACATTCAGGAAGTTCTAATACCCTAAAGCAGAATAAATATTGAAAAACTCACAGCTTAACATATTACAGTGGAAATTATTGAAAACCAAAGAGAAAAACTGAAAATGCAAATAAAACTTAAATTGGCTTTTCAAGGGGTACCTGGGTGGCTCAGTCAGTTAAACGTCTGACTCTTGATTTTACCTCAGGTCACAATCTCAGGATTGTGAGATCAAGCTCCATGTCTGGTTCCGTTCAGAGAATAGATTCTACTTAAGATTCTCTCCTCCCTCTCCCTCAGTGGCACCCCCCCAAATAAATAAATAAATAAGTACTTTTTTAAAAAGATGGCTTTGCAATAGAAACAATGAGATTCAAAAGAGTGGAAAGCTCTCTTCAAAGTGCTAAAAGCAAAATAACATCCAATCTAGAACTCTAGACCTAAAAAAAAATACCCCATCTCAGATTTTTATTTTATATATTTATTTTTCACTTCAGGGGCATGCTAGAATTCTCCGTTGGACTTGCGAACTTCCACAAAGGCACTCTTGTCCATGGGCGATTGTCAGAATCAGTGTACTTTGGAGAGGAAGACAACAGAAAACTCTTATTCTGCCATTATCATGATACCATTCTTTCTAGCTTTATTCTTCTTTATCAAGATTGTTTTGGCTATTCAGGGTCCTTTGTGGTTCCATATGAATTTTAAGATTGTTTTTCTGTTTCTTTGAAAAATACCATTGGGATTTTGATAGAGATTGCATTGAATTTGTAGACTGCTTTGGGTAGTATGGATATTTTAACAATATTAAGTTTTCCAATCCATGAACATGTGATTCTTTCCATGAGACAGTCTTTTATTTTTTTAAAGAAACTATAATTAAAAACATTCCCACAAATAAATTTCCAGGCCAAAATGGATTCATCAGTGAATTCTTCCAAACACTTAAGAAATAAATAACACCAATATTGTACAATTCTCCCCAGAGAAGAGAAAAAGAAAACAAATATATTTTTCATACAATGGAGTTCTATATAGCAAGAAGATTAGCAAATTATTATTGCATGCAGCAACATAGAATACCTACTCTATTATTACATTTATGTAAAACAGGCAAAGTAGCAGGTAAGAGTAATCTACAGTGGTAGAAGTTATAATAGTAGTTACCTTGAGGGGAAATAGTTACTGGAAAAGGACATGAGGGGGCCTTCTGGAATGTTGGTAATATTCTATCCTTGATCTCAAGGGTGATTACACAGGTTTGTTGACTTCATGTAAATTGACCAAGCTAATATACTTGATATATTTATATTTCTGTATGTAAAGATAACTAAATGAACACATTGCTAAAATCCCTCTCAGAGCCTTGGAAAGGGACCTCTGCAAAGTTAGGGACCCTAAGCTTCAAATTCATTAGTTTCACAGCAAAACTGCCTCTGACTGAGGCAATGGCAATTCTCTTTTAGGTGTACTGATCTTAAGACACCAGATTGAGGGGCCCCTGAGAGGCTCAGTCGGTTGAGCATCCAACTCTTGATTTTGGCTCAGGTCATGATCTCAGGGTCGTAAGAACAGAGCCCCACATCGGACTCTGCATACAGTGGAGTCTGCTTGAGATTCTCTCTCTCTCTCTCTCTCGCTCTCTCTCCTGCTGCCCCTCCCCCCTCTAAAATAAATAAATCTTAAAAAAAAGAGAGACACCAGATTGAGCTTTCTAAGAGCAATTCTATATATGCAATTGAGGATCAGGACAGAGATCTGGGAAAGATACATGTTTGGGAGTCACCAGCAAGCACATGGTAGTTGCAGCCATGGAAGTTCGGATTATCAGGCAAAGAGTATGAAGAAAAAGAACATAAAAAGACCAAGGACCTAATTATACATCCTCATCATTGAGTTTTTTTGCTTCTGGTTGGGTAGAACTCTGCTCATCAAATGATCAGAAGTTCTGGTAGACAATTGTATACCTCTGTAATTTATCGAAGTGGGAAAATTAATTAAAGCTTAAATGCATTTTATATAGTAAAATAATAAAAGGTTTTCTTAGCAGCACAAAGTGTTGGTATATTTTTAGAAAGTCCTGAGAATAATTTATAAGCAGTATAAAGAGATGAAAAACATACCACAATATAAGAAAAAATTTTTTTATTTCCTGAATTCTCTGGGAAAGAAATAGAAACTAGGGAAGAAAAGAGCATATACCATATATAAAGAAGATCCTTACATGTTACGGAAAGACAAGGAGACGCCTAAAACTATTAATCTCTTCAGTTGAGGGAGAGCCCTCATTTCCTCAGGCTGAGAAGTATCAACCTAAGTGCCCTTGCTATTAATATGTCCCTGCTCTTGGAATATGCAAGAACTAATGGTAACAATTATGAAGAAGAAGCATTAACTATAGAAGGAAGGCATAGAATTACTGGGAAGAGCAGAAGTAACTCACAGGTTCAAAGCAACAGAGGGAATAAAGAATAATATCCTGTAAGTATTTTTAGTAGGTATTTTTCCACTTTATATCTACTTATAGCCATATTTCTTATGTATGGAATGGTTAAAGCAAATGAATGGGCAATTGAGTTTTTGTACATAGTTCTGATTTAAAATTTTCAAGCCAATTTTTAAATATCACTATTTCTGTCTAAATATTTCTTCTCATTAGGTTAACGGACTGTTACTTTTCATAATGTCTTAGAATACATATAAACCTTGTTTCTTTGATTATGAGTATAATATACATTCATTTTTGAAATTCAGAAAATAGAGAAAGAAAGAAAATAAAAAATCCTATGTCCTACTATCCAGAGAAAATTATTTGATATATTTTCCCACTCTTTTAATCTACCTACCCATATATGTATGTATTTATTGATTCACTGATTCATTCATTCATTCATCATCTGTTTTATAAAATTAGGGTCATATATGACTTGCATTCGGCTTTTTCACTTTGCATTTTGAGTATTTCCCGTATCACTGAATATTCTTCAAAAACATAATTTTAATGGCTATTTTACATTTCATCATAGTCTTGCCATTACATTACTAGATTTACTAATATCTTTACAGGGTGAATTAACACCAGAAACACATAAGTTATAACTGATATTATAAGAATTCTTCTAACCATAATCACAAATAAACTGTTGTTGGTTACCTTTCTGAATATGGTCTTTAGCGCTGGATTTAAAGATCTCTTGCTTGTGGTTAGCCTGAAATTCCATGACTGTCTAATGGGTGAAGGTAATGACATAATTTCTCCACTTTCTTCAAACCAACACTTTCCCTATCAAAAATATTCAAGAAATACTGTAATAAAATATTTCACTAAAAACAAATGTCACATACTAGCAATGAGTGGTGTAACTTATTAGCTGGCGCACTTGCCTCTTCTAGGGTAAGCAGGCGATCTTCCATTTTGTTGCAGGTCTTTTTATGTATTTGTGGCTTTCTCTGAATATAGAATCCTTCATCTTCTAAAATGCGTGGAATCATATCTTTTGGCAGTTTACGCTGGTTGACCACTTAACAACAAAACCTAGATATTACTTTGAAGTCCAAATTATTAAACTGGTATTGACAAAACAAGGAAAAAAAGGTAACTATCATATAGCCTACCACTAAAGTTTTGTAGGAAGTCTAAATATATATATATGATAAATGATATCTTTTAACCAGTTTCCTTAAAGTCAGAGAAGATTTGAAGAACAAATAAAGAAAACTTTCTGTAATTTTAGATCAGTACTTTTTATCTATCCAACATACAAAGAAGCTATTATTCTATAATATGATTCATTAATGACTTAAATATTTTGTTGTAAAGAATTTTACCTGGAGAATTACTTGGCACAAAAATGTTTGCCTGTTGTTTTTTTATTTGTTCTTGATTATCTTCATATTCAGCAGCTTTTACTTCAAGTAAATCTGGGGAAATGATTTCCTCCATAAAATCTTCATCTTGGCCTTCAGCAAAATTTTGTAAATTATCACCAGGTGAAAAATGTTTGGGGTAACTATCATTTACCGATCTCTATTGAATACAAAAAGAAAAAATAAGTAAATATGCTGTCCCCATGATTATATATAGATAAGTGAGATGTATTGGGACCTTGCTGTGAATTGTCTTTGAGCCATGCCATCTAGTTCAAGTTCAAGCTGAAACTGTTATAATAAAATTTCATTGAACATACGAAGAACTCATTTAAGGCTTAATAGTATACAGTATGATTTTTCTATAACCTTTCTTTGCAATTCACAATGAAGGACTAACTGAAATAGAACTACAGTTCAAGTCCCTCCTCTCCCATGGAAAATGACCTGAGATATTGGACTATGGCATTTCAACCACTGAGAATTCACAGTGTAAGGCAAAGCCCAGAGACATCAGGCCATGCAGTCTTAAACTGCATTTTTTTTTTCACCATTCAGAAAGCAGTATTACCTAAAATTATATGGAGCAGTCATGCTGGTTTCTGGATGATATTTATTTATTTATTATTGTTATTTTTTAAGATTTTATTTATTTATTTGACAGAGAGAGAGAGAGATAGTGAGAGAGAGAGCACAAGCAGGGGGAGTGGCAGGCAGGCAGAGAGAGAGGGAGAGGGAGAAACAGGCTCCCCGCTGAGCAAGGAACCCGACGTGGGGCTCGATCCCAGGACCCTGGGATCATGACCTGAGCCGAAGGCAGCCGCCTAACTGACTGAGCCACCCAGGTGCCCCTGGATGGTATTTAAAAGAAAAAAAAAGTTTCAACATAGAAGTCTATGGCAGGGTGATTATAGTGAAATTCTGAAATATGATAGATACTATAAAAACTACAAACAATCTGAATATAGGTATCAAAACACATGTATTACTAAATATAAAAATGGATACTTTTATATCAGGATCAGAAATTTTATATGAGTCTCTTCACTCACAAAAAAAATCATCAATTTATTCTTGATTGACTTTACTTATCTAATTTGAAATCTACATATATTGAAAAACAGAAGGAGACAGAAAATGTGTGAGTCATGCAAATAAAATCCCTCAATTTTCCAAAACATACATTTGTAGATAAATAATTAAATTAAAAAATAATCACAGAATTCCTTTGAATAGAGAGCCTTACATGGCTTTGACCAGCTCTGACGAAATTAAGAAATTAACATAGTTAATCAACACTTAGGTTCATATCAAGTCATCACGACATCACACCCTCTCTCTTATCCCCAACATGAAATCAAGAAAGTATTTTATATCAAAAAACCTTTGTGACATCTTTTCCAGAATTCAAACCAGGTATGACACCGACATCTAGAAGCAAGATTTGGGGGATCTCTACACAGAGGATCTCTGAAGATTCCAATCACCTACCAAAAGGGGCTCGAGCTCCCATTATCAGGCATCCCTCATAATACCCCTGGCGTGGACCAGGGCTTACAACAGGCCTTCAGAGATAAGGTTTGTCCTGACGGCTGAGTAGGGCAGCCCTCATCTTGGATCCCAGCCTTTTATTTGTGACCAAACAAGTCACTTTTATAAGCCTTATTCTATTCAATTGGCCTATATTTTTAGCCTGAGACAAACTGGATTTCAACCAATATAAGCCCCATCTGACCAACTATTCCTCATTTAATCTAAGGCTAGCTGCTCTCCCAGATCACCTTCCTGGTCTTTACTATGCAGCTCACAGCAAAGCAGTGTCTGTGCTATTAGGTGTTGTGTGACAGGGAGTATGAGGCTAGAAGGCATCCATCTAACTTTCCATTCATAACTCTAGATGGATACACCTGAGCATGGTCTGGTAAAAAAGAGATGTTACCCCCCATGTCGCAGGAACACACCTTGCTAAGTGTGGTGTAAGTAGAACTGTCAGAAAATAACCTTGGACCTCACTCTGGGCTGCCCAGACAACATATTTGGAACCAGGACTCCCTTTTCTCCCAGCAGGAAGAAACTCAGCCTCGCAGACAGTGGTTTTCTCCTCTCTGTGATGAGGACAATAGTTTCCTATGGACCTCAAAGTCACCAGGTACAGGGCAATGGCTTTTTAAGACAAAGCCTCTAAACAACCCACATCTAAACCTGACTTACTAAAGCCCAAATAGCCTGTTTGCCTCACTGATCTAATTTCTCTCATGCCTGCCCTCTGGGAAGGAAAGGCAGCCATAACCACAGTACCTGACCCTGGTATCCTCTGGGTGGACCTTCTCTTATTTTCCCAGAAAAGCTCATTCCTTAACCCATATTGTGAGACTCTAGGAGGTCAGATGACTTGGCAGAGCATGCACATGTTTGAAACTCATTTATTCAATATTCATTGGAATATTCATTGAGTGCCTAATATGTTTCAGGAAGAAAATAAACAAAAAGATATAGAAATATATGCTCGGTGGTGATAAGTGTGTTGAAGGAAAAAAAAAAAAGCAAGACAAGAGGATAGAGAATACCAGCCTAGGTGGGTGGGGGGTACTACTGTAGATAGGGTTGTCAGATACAGTATCTTAAATGATGATGTGTCATTTGAACAGAGACCCAAAGGTAGTGAGAGAGAGAGCATGAGGATAAGGGAAGAGCTTTCTAGACAAATAAAAGGTGCAAAGTCCTTTGCATGTTGTGAGAAATAGGAAGGAGGCCAATCTGGCTGGAGTTTGGTGGGAGAAGGGCAAAGTGGTAAGAAATGAGGTCGAAGAGGTACCAAGGGGGTCAGGTCACATAGGCTTTGGAGGACTTTAGCTTTTATTTTACGTGAGATAGGAAACTATTAGAAGGTGTAAGCAAAAGAATGATCTGTCTTAGATTTTAACAGGAGCACTCTGACCACTGTATGATATAGAAAAGAGACTGTTGGGGCACTAGTGAAAACAGAGGGAGGCACTGGCAATGATCCAGATGAGAGGTTATGGTGGCTTAGACTAGGGTTATACCAGTGGAAGTAGTGAAAGGTGGGTCAAATTCTGGAATACTTTGAAGGTAGAACCAACAGGATTTGTGATGAATTGTATATGAGGTCTGTTAGTAAAAGAGGACCTGAGGATGACACCAGGGTTTGGCTGAGCAACTGGAAAAATGGAATTGCCATTTACAAATATGATTCTATTCATATAAAAGTCCATGTATGTGCAAGTCTGGGCATAAGCATTGAGAAATGTGTGAAAAATGATAGTGGTTTATCTCAGAGCAGTGGGATTTCATGTGATTTTTAGGTTCTTCGCATGGTTTTCCGCATTTTAAGAAATAATGTACCATACTTTCCTTAAACTTTTAAAAGAGAAAGCTCTTTTTATCGTAGAAAAACCAACAAAGAAGGAATGAAAGACTGGGCAGTTTGAAAAGAAAGGGGGATGGAAAGGACTGGAAAGTAAATTGGGTGTCCAAGAGGGACTCAGGAGGCCTGAGGGATTAGGCAAGGCTAAGCTGCGTCAGAAGATCCTGGGTAGAACTCCAGGGGACAGTAGTACTGGGGGAGGGGACCAAGGAAACCATGCAGAGACTTAAGGCAGAGAGGAACTGGAGAAACTGTAGAGGAAGAGGAGCAGACAGGGAGAGCAAAGGGATGGACAGTCATGGGAAAGACCCATGAGATCGACTGGTATGGGAGGAGAGGACCACCGGGGAATAACAGGGGGCTGAGGAATTTGGGAGGCATGGGGAAGAACTGCTAGAAATTAGAAGGGTCTGGGATCAGATTGGGAGGGATGAAGAATGAGGCACTATGGAGAGTAACGGAGATTACGGAGAACTGGGTGGTGGGGGGGAGGCGCTTGGAGAGGAGGACAGGAACAACAAAAGAAAAAGAAGACACAGGCTTTGGAGCTGACAGCCAATGCTTCCAGCTCTACTGATGTTTCACCTTCTATCCCTGAGCTTCCTCATGTTTAAAGTAGACATTACAGTAACACTTGCCTCATGCAATTACTATAAGGATTGAATGATGTAATCCATATTAAAAATTTAGTACAACATTGGGCATCCAGTAAGTACTCAATAAATGTTTGGAATTATCATTTTGAACAGATTCTTAATTCAAAGAGAAGAGGGTGGCTCAATAATAAAAATTTCATCTCCCATCCAAGTATTTCATTCTATGCCTTTAATAAAGAGCTAATTTGCCTGGGACATGAGAGGAAGGGAACAGATCCGACCTGCTCTGAACACCAGCCCACAGCTGAGCCTTCTTCACCACTTGGCATGAAAAACCAAAGACCTTCATCCAGGGAGACTTCGATCTGTGGAGTAAACAACAGCAGACCAGTATTTAGGGTGGAAAAGAGTATTTTTTCTTCTTATCAGTGGAAGAAATACTTTTCTGTAATATGGTAAACAGTAACTGTCATCTTATTCATGAGCAAGGAGCAGCAAGAGTCTGTTCAGTTCATTACATTTTTTGGGTTTTGTTTTGAAGGTTCTGGTAACTACAATAAGAAACAGAATAAAGTAGAGCCCAAATGCTCTGCCTCCCAAACTATCTCTTCACTCTAGCCAGAGTACTAAGAGTATACTTTACAGTGTGATCAAAATGGGGCTCAGGGCAAATCTTTATTTTCTCTCCCTGTTTTTGGATGCTCTCATGGATGTGTGCGCTCACACACAAGTACCACCCAGCCCACCTACATTCTTCTGCGGTTATAGACAGTTAAAAGTATTAAAGGGGGGGGTGCCTGGGTGGCTCAGTCGGTTAAGCTGCCTTCGGCTTGGGTCATGATCCCAGAGTCCTGGGATCAAGCCCCGCATCAGGTTCCCTGCTCAGCGGGAAGCCTGCTTCTCCCTCTCCCACTCCCCCTGCTTGTGTTCCCTCTCTTGCTGTGTCTCTCTCTGTCAAATAAATAAATAAAATCTTAAAAAAAAAAAAGGCATTAAAAGGGGCATATCCTTAGTTATAAATTTGCTGATAAATAAGCTTTCATTTTTCAGTACTGTCAAGTCTGAATCTTTTAAATGTAAATCACTTAGCACTTCTTTCTCACACACATACTAAAAATGAACTGTTTTTAGGGAGATTTGGGAAGGAATTAATTCTATAATAAAAAGTAAAACTCATAGTTACTAGAAGTCAAATAATTTAAAAATATATAAAATACAAAGCTTATTTTATATCCTGTTTGTATCTACAATTTAGCTGTCACATTAATTTTAAAAAAGTTATTCACCCTGCAACAATGCCGCATTTCGAAACTGTCAGTATGTACTTTACTTCCCTTTATCTCTGCTCATCACAAAACCACTTGCTAAGCAGATACTCTTATCTAGCAGTTGGTATGGGGAGTCTTAGAAGCCACTAACTCTTCTTTTTCACCTCTTTTCTTGACACTCCTGGACCAACTTTGACAAGCTTCCAATTTTTTATTATTCACAGTTACATAAATCCAAATTAGGCACACTTTTATTTGTTGAATAGCATGTATACACATCTTTTTTTTTTTTTAGTCTGCTTTTATGTTTAAATTTAATTAATTCTTACTAAGCACCCAAGAAGAGCATTGTGGGGGAGACAAAGATGATTTTTAAAAAATTCCTTGCATTTTAAAATTTGTAGAGTTAGTCTTGTTGCTTATGGAAGAAATGACTAATTGTCCATTATTGTCTTTCCCCCATCTCTAATAACAGAATCTTTTAGTGGGGGACCTAAATATTTTCCCCACATTCCTTTAAGGGGAGTAATGTGTGCAGCTTGCAGGTCTTGTCCTGTAAGAGATCAATCTGCAACCCTCTGGCTCTTTCCTTCTTTCCCTGTGGCCAGCAAATAAGGCACTGAAGCTTTCCCACTGGACTCTGAGATAGAAACCACCTGCTGAAGATGGCAGAACTCTCCTAGCAGTTTATACTACTTACCTTTTACAACTAGAGAGAAATAAAACTTCGATCCTAATTAAGACATTTTACTTGGAATCTTTTGGCTAAAGGTGTTCAGCAACCTTTACCCTAAATAAGATAGTTCCCCAAAACAGAGTTGTTTTGTCATTTCAAGTTTCAAAATGTGATTACATATTGAGTTGTAAAACAAAATCTGTAAGCCGGGGATCATCTATAATATTTTATTGTAATTTTTTAGGATAAAAATAATGTCAGGTACAAATAGAAATAGAGAATGCTGCAAATTGGTATGAGGGATCTTTGTGGAGTGACAACATTGGATTATAGTGTTGACTGCATCATTCTGTAAGTTTACTAAAAATCATTAATTCATACACTTAAAATCAGTGATATTCTGCTATATAAAGTATATACCTCAATAAAACTATTCTAAAAAATATTAAAAAATTATTTACCTTAGGCCACTGATATATCTTCTCATCAATGAGTAGCTGAGGGGAGGATTTTTCACCTTGATTAATCTGAAACACAACATAAGTAAATGGTATGGAAAATTTAATCTTCACAAATATAAACATATTTGTGCTCATAAGTCTTTTATTCAAAATGGATAAAAATCAAGATTTCTCAATGCTTTTCTTTTAACTAGTATATACATGTTTTCCCTTGAGATGTCATATATACTTACCATGACCAACTCAACTTTTCTTGGCTTTAGGTTTGGAAAAAAAAGTATGGAAAAGAACTTGAAGTTTTTGGGAATTGAGGAGCTATGGAAGGCTGAATTTTCACTCTTTTTTGACAAAGAAAAGTTTATTATGATACATATTTCAGTAAACAGTAAATATGAAAACAGGAAAGAAAAAAGAAGAATTACCTTAGCATTTTTTAGCTTCTCTTTTACTTTGCCTCTCAACGTTTCCATTACATTTTGATTTTCTTCTGCATCTAAATCTATCAAGAAGTCAACATAATACAGAGTTCATGACACTTTCTTATAATAAAACAGCAATAGCGGCAAAAGTGCTTAAATAGCTAAACTGCATGGATTTCTAAAGATCATGACAATTAAGAAGGCTGGGTCATTGCCCTATGTGTGCTTAGAACCTAAGACCAGTGCCTGTTGTCCCTTCCCTCTTTTCCAATCTGGACTAAACAGGGCTGAAACTTGCTTCTTTTTGTAACTTTTTCCCTTACCTTTTATATCCTCAGCTATTGGAGACAGTCCTTTATAGTTAGTCAAAAAAAAGAAAAAAAAGAAAAAAGTAAGCTCAGATAAGCATCTGAACAGTCATATTCTATGTAGACTGTTCTGCAGAGTATACAAATAACAAAGCCAGGTTACTTTAATCTGATTAAACTGGAGAGAACGGAATCTGAAAGGAAGAGAGAGAAGTCTCTAGGTACCCATTTTAACTACTTATGTCAGTTCTGAAAAATCAGTACAATACTGCCAACCCCTACTTTTGCCAGCTCTTAAAGGATATGAAACATAGAGCATAAACAAGGTTCCAGGTAGTGTGTACACTCCAAGTTATGTGTTATTTTCTGCTCATCCACCAGATAATCCACCAGATGGACTGAGAAAGACAGGGGTGGTGCAGTCCTATGTACAGTAGAAAATGGAGGGCCTATTGGTTATTCTGCCTTGCATTTTTCTTTTTCTTCTTCTTTGAGTACTCAAAGATTGCATAGAGGCTAATAGAAATAAAGGGTAAATATAAAACTAAATCACTACAGGTAATGAGAATCTTCATTCTTTTTTTTAAAATATTTTATTTATTTATTTGAGAGAAAGCGAGAGCATGAATAGGGTGAAAGGTAGAGGGAGAAGCGGGCTCCCCACTGAGCAGGGAGCCTGATGAGGGGTTCGATCCTGGAACCCTGGGATCATGACCTGAGCCAAAGGCAGATTACTTTGTAATCAAGTATTCCTTGGTAAGTTTAAAAATTACTAGTTGGTTTGTTTATACTCTACTCCCAGAATTTAAAATGGCAGATGCCACAAAGTCAGGTCTCAATAAATATTTGGTGGATGAATGAACCAGGTTTCAACCATATTTATATATGTTTCTCCCTGAGATCTGGAGCTTCCTGAAGCAGGTTCCGTATCTATGCATGTTTATGGACTAACACAGTCTCAAGCACTAGTGGCTTCTTCATGTTTGTAGAAAGGGAGAGAAAACAAAATTTGGTTTTATTACATGTGTTGACTTTATTATGTATTTTCTTAAGCCCATCTTATATTATCTAGGAAGTTTAGTTTCTGTTTGAACTCATTTCTTAAGAAATTTCTGTTCCCAGGTGAAACCTTAGGATAGGATTAGTCATTTATATCTTTAAAAAAATAGAAACCAGCAGTATCAGAGTTGTGGTATACTTATTGAGAACCTTTCTGGAGATGCTTGTTTACATTTTCTTCTGCACTGTTATCTTCTGACATCTGCAAAAAACTTGGGGGAGCAGGTTACCTTATATCTTTTTGTTTTGGCATTGAACACCTTTTCATATGTTCATCAGCCCTTTGAAAATCATCACCTTTAAAATGCCAATTCATGTCCTTTGCCTGTTTTCCTGTTTCATCTTTTTATCAATTTGTATAAACTCTTTAAATACAGTGGATTTTTAAATTAAGAAATTTCTCTCTGTAATATCAAAAAGGACCTTTTAATGATAAAATCCAATGGTTAGTTGTTAGTGTTGGTATACTGTCAACTTTACATATCTTTTAGGAGGGCCAAATAAAACCAGACATATGAAAATACTTTGAAACTCAACACTCTATCCATGTTAGCTATTACTTGATTACTCTGTAGCATCTGATAATGTTGGGCACCTTTATTTTCTGAAAACTTTCTATATTATTGCTCTCTACTCTTCTACTTCTCTGGCCACTTACTCCCTGTGTTCTTCAATGGTCACACTTCTCTTCATAGCTTACATGCGGGCGCATTCCAAGGCTTTGGGGAGTGGACGTATTCCCAGGGCTTCCCAAATCTTGCTTCCAAGGCTTCCAACCTTGACTGCTATCCTGAATACCATATTTCTAGTTGCCTATTGGTATTTCTAATTGAATATCCTACCATTATAAAAAAACTCGATATGTTCAAACTTCCTTTTAAGTTTTTTAAGCTTCAATATTCTGAAATTAAACCATACTAGCAATGTCAAGTCTGTTTTTAGAACAATATAGATTATGAGTTTGTTTTCATTTTAAGTTTAAATACAATAGCAAAAGACTCCTTAACTAACAACTAAAATAAAAGCCATTATCACAATAAGAGTCTCGTCTACAGACTTCCTGAAAGAACTTCAAAATCCACCAGTGCTTCCTGTATCACACTATTAAGAACATAAACTAGATGTTCAGCATCTTCCTCAACACAATTAAAAATACCTAATTCTATTCTGGACCAAGGGACAGTAAGTGATTGATAGAGGTCTCCCTTTAATTTCCAATCATCTCAACCAGCATTCCCAGGATTCTGCACACTTCTTCATAACTTCCCATCCCTCTAGAAGACAGGGATAAAATATGAATCTTAACTAGAGTTACTCTAAAAGACCTGTAGATATTGGTCCTATATATGTTTTATTTACTCACTAAAAAAAGAAAAAAAATTTTTTTTTGGAGCAAAGCAGAAAATGGACCACTGGCTGAGAGAACAGGTAAATGAATTAATATTTACATAAGAGAATAAATAAATAACTCACTTCTAATACTATGGCATAACTAACACACCAAAGAGTATAATTCATTCTTAAGCTTATTATTTTTTTAACATGCGAACTATGTGATTTGGATATAGAACAAAATATATCACATTGTTCAGGACTATCCTATATTTATAATTGGGCTATTAGTATAATCAAGATTCTTATAATCGCCATTAATACCTTACCTTTTTTTTCATATCTTCTTTTCTCTTTGAGATCTTTTTCATGATGGTTCTTTCATTTCCACTTCCTAAATAAATAAGAAATAGTCTTAACGATGATATATTACTGAAAGTATGATGTTACACTTAAAAGTATGCTACTTAATTTTTTAAATTTAACTAGAAATTAAACAAAGAAATACGCTATCACCTTTAGTATATAGTAAAAATTCCAGTTAATGTAATAAGACACATAAAAGAAGTAAGAAGTATAATTATTAGAAAAGAGAAGACAAAGTTATCATTGTTTGTAGAGGATAGGTTTTTACACATAGAAAAGCCAAGACACTCAATCAAAAAGTTTAGACACAATTAGAAAGTTAGGTGGCAGAATACAAGAGGAATATATGTCAAAGCTAATAGCTTCCCTATATGTAAATATAATAGAGAAAGATCACTTTCATAATAGCAATACAACAAAAACATTTTCAAAATACTTAGGAATAACTTCAATTAAAATATGTGGGAACTCTCTGAGAACTATAAAACTTTAGTGAGAAAAAATATCTGATTAAACATGGAGATATATACCAGAGGCAGGAAGATTGGTTAGGAGGCCATTATAATAGTCCCAATGCTAGAGATCTGAATCAAAAATGCAAGTGGGAATGGAAAGTGGAGAGAGCTTCATTTAAAAGGTAAAAATCACAAGATTTCATGAGCAATTACATGGAGAAGACAAAGTGAGGGAAGAACCAAACCAGGTTTTTGGTTTGAGTCACTGAGAGGTAGCGTCATTTCAAGTATTGTCAAAGTAGGAATGTAGTTGGGGTAGGGATCAGTTAAGTTCAGTTTTTGGATGTTGCTAATGGATCTTTATGGGACATTCAGGTGAGAAATCCAGAAGATGATTAAAAATACTGTAATAGAAGAGAACAGAAAACAGAAGAAAATCAGGTCTAAGTTAACTAAATTCTTTGTTTAACCAGTAAATAGACATTTAGGAAGTTGATTTAAGACTCTTTAAAATATCTTTAAGATTCTTCCTGCTAACATGACAAAATTAGGCACAACAGGAATATAATGCCAGGAAAAGAGAATTTTTAATTTACTTTGCATTCTGCAAGAACATCTAAAATAACCTTCAAATCAATACCTAGCTTGCTGATATGTACATCTAAAATTTTATCTGCTACACTAGGGGAAACTTTAGTGACAGCACATCCCATAGATAGTTAAATTATAATAAATTTAAAAAAATTTTTAACAAGGTACTGGTTTGTAGATCTGGAGATGTTTCTAACCTGGTTCATTTATCGTTCCATAAATGATATAAGATAAATAAATGATTATAGACAAAATAATAAATAAAATTGAAGATCTGGAAAAAAATTGCATTTGCCTTTTTGAAAATCTTGCTGAAGTAAGGAAAAATTGTGATTCAGACTTTTACCTTCTTACAGCATTCAACTCTCTTTATTGAAAAACTCAGGATCCAACAGTTAAACCCAATCTTCTCTTCAAGGTTATTGTTAATTTGCAATTCTTGCAGTTAAAGCTCTTTCTAAAGGGTAAGGAAATTGAGGATTAGCTATTTTTGTATCAGATGACCTGGAGGTCCATAGTCAAAACCTGAGAATTAAAGTCAAGTAGTTCATTCAGCCTTTTCTGATTCACAGCAAACAGAAGGCAGTTTACGTGTATAAATGTTTGCCTCTTGCTTAGCATTTAGAAATCTCTAGGTTCTGCAAATTTACCAGTTGTGCCTTTATCACTATGGTGATTCCTGAAATGAAATTTTATGTTGTGTGTAAATTTAACATTAAATTACCTTGATTACTTCTGTCATATGCCATTTGGTTTCAGGAGTGTTAGCAGAAAAAAATTACAGAAAAATCTCTAACATAGGGAATGGTCACAACATGCATATTCTGATATCTAGTAATATTTCTTTGGTTAATTATGAACTAACTAGGAATTTGTTTCTCTTTTCGTTTTCTCCGAGCTCCTGGAAATCTTTCCAAATGTATTAATTCACCTTCCTTAGCGGAACTGAATTCAGGCTCAAATCCAACTTTATCTTTATTTTAGTTCATCTATTGTCACATAGTATGATCAGTCCCATCTGAACTCCCTCATAGCAGTGTTTCTTAAATCATGCTTTTCCACACTTCTTTGATTTGCATTGTGGTGCTGTACAAAAAACTTAAAGTCTCACTCAAAGTTATGGTAAAATTAAGGCAATGGATAGCATTTTGCCAAAATCAAAATTTATTAAATATATGGCAAATATACTGGTACTAAGGTATGGAAAAGGTGGAATTTAACAAAAAGAAATTCTACAACTAGGTAAATACAATAGCATTATTTCACAATGTTTTACAGAGAGCATCATGACTTCCAGGTGTTTCATTACCTGACAAATTTGAAAATGAATACCTTTTAGTTAACTATAATCTTATTTTCTAAAATAAAAAAACTAGGAACAAGTGGCCTGACAAAGGATTTTCTGTGAATTTATATATGTCTTCAAAAGGCATGAACGAAATCATCCACCACACACAGGACTAAACCCCCAAATCACCATAGCCTCCTCTTAGGATTTTCTGTGAATTTATATATGTCTTCAAAAGGCATCAAAACGAAATCATCCACTGCATACAGGACTAAGCCCCCAAATCACCATGACCTGCTCTTACAGGTCAAGAAAGATTTGGATTCACTTCCTTTGAGACTTTAGGTATATAGAGATCGATTAATGCCAAAACAGGTTACAAAAACTGTGGTATATTTTGAAAGGTTATATCACACACACACACACACACACACACACACACGTGATGTAATGTAATTCTGCCACTCTCAAGTTAATTACAGGATTTATAAAAAGTATTAATTCAAAGACCAACACGGGCCACGATGTCCAGAAACTGGACACAGGTAAGTCCTGTGATACTTAAACCTGACAATATATCTCAGTGCCTGTACTTAAGAGTCTCAACTGGAGAGAAAGTCAAAACTAGGCCCTTCCTGAAAGGCCAAAAGACCGCCGTGTCTACTCTCCCACCTAAGCCCTGCTCACCACTCTCCAACATAAACCTTTGACTATAGGCTGATCAACCTTCTTTATACTCCCCCCCCCACATCCATCCTTCGATTTTTTTGCAACTTTCCTCTAACCTAGAGCATTCCACGTCTCAAAGCCTGATTCAAATCCCACATCTTCCGGGAATTTTTTTTTTTTTTCTGACTCTGGCCCTTCTGTGACCTCCAAAAGCATTATTTTTGTTCATTACATCCTACTCTGCAAGTTCATCTTTCCGCCTACCCTAAAGCGAGGACGAGTGCCGGGATCCAAACTCATCTATCATCTATCCTCCACCAATCCTAGCAAGATGTTCAGCACAAAATAGGCACTCAATAAATAACATGATCTTGGATTTGATGCAAATCAAGCACCACTCTCGAATGCTGCAAAATGGAGTAGTTCTCAACCCACTTAATTTCCCAAGGGAATGACGGGGACGGGTCGGCCAGGTTCTGGGGACTACAAGTCCCAGCGGCCTGTGCGGGTCTGTCTGGTTCCAGGGGGCCGCCGCTAGTTTTAGTCCACAGAGCAGGGCTCCAACCAGACAAGATACCGGGGTGTCTGACAGGGAGGGGTCAGGGGGCTTTACTAGGCAGTATGACATTCACCTGGATGGACAGGGCACTCTTGCTATTTATGAACAGCTAAGGCAGGACGCACCATTTATCGCGGACTCTGAGAGGTCACTAACCGCCCCGCAACGTTCCTCACGACCGCGGTCGCAGCCCGCCGCCCGCCTAGCGCTCCCTCCTCGGGGATTGACGTCAAGGCCGTCCGGGAGCATGCGCGGTGCGGCCCCTGAGCCGGCTGGGTCCCCGGCGAGCGCAGAGCGTGCGCCTTCGGGAATCTTCGGTGCGCTACGTCTGTTCATCGGCTGCTTGGGCTTGTGACTAGAATTGAGGCGTCGGAGCCTGTCACTCCCGCCCTGGCCTGGGCCTCTAGCGCCTGCAGGAGCGCCGGCTCTGATCACCTGCGGTCTGGTTGTGTGCCTCAGTGGCTGCAGCTGCCCGAGGGTTTGTTCTGGGAGAGAGCTGAGAGCGCGGTGTCCTGGCGCGTGGAAGCCCCGCAGCTCTCGCGTCATGGTGAAGAAGAATAGTATCCCCAACGGGTGAGTACCGGCCGTGAGCTCCCCGGCCGACGCGGGCCCGCGGCGACAACCGGAGTGGTAGGCGTCCCGGAGGACACGCTCGCACGCCCGCTGTCCGCGGTCCAGGTGCGCCCTGTGGTCTTCCGCGGCGTGTGGGGCGGGCGGCGGGGATGGTGGCGCTCCGGGCGCCCGCGCAACCCGCCGCTTCGACCGCGCCGGGAGTAGAGGGCTTTGATTTCGGGCGCTTTGGGGGTGGCATCCCAAGGGGCGTCCTAAAGGGGTTCTTTTTCTTTCCGGCGCTTGGTATGAATGTAACCAATTTAATACGTTTAAAAGCCTTGAGGTAGTGCACGCAGGACATGCTCACTCGTGTGGTGTCATCTTTGCTTCATAAACGAAACAGCTTACATTTCTTTTCCCAGTGACTCACCTCGAGTTAAAATAATGAGTTAAGTGAAAATGTTCTGTGTTTTGAAACTTGTCCTGGGAAACTGGCGGGCATGAAGTTAGGAAACTTGCTAGTAAGGAAAGCAGCTCTGCGGTGTGAGGGAGGCTTTCATTCATTCAGACATTCGACAGATGTTTTCTAGCGGCTCTCTGCGCCAGGCTTTGCGCTTGGCCCTTGGACTCCAGGGAATCTTAGAAGGGGGTTCAGACTTCTGACAGCCTTGTATATTTGGGAAAGGGGAGATGTGGAAGTGAAGAAACTGCTGCAAACATAATGTTCCAGGATATGTTGGTTCATTGTGGCATACGTAGAAATAGAACTGGGAAGTTCTGCTCGCTTTCTCAGCTGAGATAACTGCATACCGCTAAATGTGTCCGAGCCTCGAAATCGTTTGGCCATGTTGTTATTCTGAGTAAAATCCTTGCCGGGTTTCCCATCTTGAATTTCTACGGCTCTTCTGCTATGGGAATTTAGGAACAATGGTAGTGGTGAAAGAAGGACAAAGTCAAGCAATACTTTAGTAAATAGAAACGTTACAGGCTAAATAGAATAAGAGTGCATGTGCAAAAGATATGTAATCTGTGCTGTTCCTTAAATTCACTTAATTTCTGGAATAATTATCACACAGGGGTACTGTTTTTTTTTTATTTTTTTTTTGTGTGTGTGTGTGTGTGTGTGTGTGTGGTTTTTTTTTTAAGATTTATTTATTTTAGAGAGGGGCTGGGGGAGGAACAGAAGGAGATGGAAGGGAACATCTCAAGCCAACCCTCCGCTGAGCTGGGAGCCTGATGCAGGGCTCCATCTCAGGACTCTGAGATCATGACCCTGAGATCATGACCAGAGAGATGATCAAGAGTGGGAAGCTTAACGGGACTTAACCACCCAGGAGCCCCAACAGGGGTACTGTTTTTAAAAATACATATAGCATGTATTTACTGAGGTAATACTGTTACAACTACACTTTCATATGTTATAAAGTATGTATACCTGAATAATGAACAGGCTAAAGTGAGGTAGTGTAGGATTTGAGATCTAATATTGGACAGTTTGTAGTTTAAAGAGCTAAAAAAAAAATCAACCCTAAATATTTTCAAGTTTAAAGGAAAATAGTATCAGTCCAGCAGATATCTCACTCAGATTGGTCATCCAAATCTCACTTGCCAAATGGTTTCGCTTCAGTTCTTTTTTTTCTTTTCCAAGTTGCTGTCATTTAAAGGTCCGGAGCTTACACATGAAAATCTAGATTTCTTGAAAAATCAGATTTAGGAAACCAGATCTGTACATGGCAATAGTAAGTGATTTGCAGCTGTCTTTTCTATAAAGAGTAAGCCTCTCCAGTTTCCCATCCCCCTTTAGCCTCCGAAGCACTGAGACTTACAGTTAATTGACTTTATTATTTTATCGGGGTTTTTTTTGGGGGGGGGACATGTTTTACTTAGGTATGTCAACCGGCCTGGCATTTGATTTTGTAAGTCCAGCTGTAGAGGGTAAATGGGAGGAAGGAACTTAGTTTATTATATTACTTGTTTCCAGAATAAAATGTCATTTTGAGCGCCGCCAGGCAGTGCTGTGGACTGTTTTGTCAAAAAGCATGGTTACCTTCCATATTGTGAGCCCCAGAAGATGACATCACTTCAAATATCCCTACAGTCCTTTAACTTGATGAGTTGCAGTTTTGGCATTTGAATAGTCTGGGTGATCGTAGTATTCCTGGTTCTACCTCCCACTCAGGAGTATGGTGAAACGTGACAGTGAAATAGGAAAGTACTTCTAAACTGAAGAGCCTCTAAACAAACTAGTTTCAATAACTCTAAAATAGCAATTTTCTTATCTGGAGGTATAGGTTTACTTTTATCTTCCAATGATCTCTCTTCCCAAACTTGTTTTGTTTTTTGTTGTTGTTTTTTGTTTTTAAAGAAAGAAAAGATATATGGCTACAGACAAGAGATACTCTAATTGGGATTGATTTGGAAAAGAGTTTAAAAATGGGGCACCTGGGTGGTTCAGTTTATTAAGCATCCAACTCTTGATTTCATCTCAGGTCATGATCTCAGGGTGGTGATATCAAGCCCCAAGTTGGGCTCTGTGCACTCAGCGGGGAGTCTGCTTGAGATTTTCTCTCCCTCTCCCCCTCCCCACCTCTCTAAAACAAATAAACCTTAAAAAAAAATTTAAAAATGTGCAGTTGCCCCTTTAAATTACACAGGATTTTAACATGAGTTTTTCAGAAATGTTCTCTTTATTTGATCCGATTGGAATACTCTTTTATTAAGTTCTCTGCCTTATTATTTTTTTCTTTGAGAAATTTCCCTCTGTTAGAAGGTCAGTTCCTGTTGATTACACTTTGGGTCTAGTTTTTTTTTTCCTCAAGTAAAATTCTGTTCATTGCTCTATGACTGCTAATAGGTATTATATGTGTTGTGACAAAGTAATCACATTGAGGATTTTTATCCCTCATTCCACTATATTTGTATTCAAAATAATTTGGATCCTCCATCCTACACTACTATGTCTTCCTCCACCCATTTGCCCATTTTTCAGAGCTTTTCTGTCACAAAACCAGAGGGTCTGCTGTAAGAAGGACAGCTGTATGTATGGGGGTGGGGGGACAAAGTCCCTGAATCCTGAAATTCGGAACAGAGTACTATCATATTGATTCTTGCCAAACATTGAGTGAATTTAAGCTGGGACCTCACTGTGTAATGTAGATATTCAGAATGGATTTGTATTTTCAAGCAGTATTCTATAAACATACTATCTAGAGGTCAAAATACTGCCTTATGTTCCAAACTATGTCTTTCATGCTTCTAGGGATACCCTTTAGTTCTCCTTTGAAATTTATGAGTTTCTCATGAGATTTTAAGCTTTAATTTTATTTTCTGAATGTCCATATTAATGACAGATGAGTGTAAACATCATTAATTTTATTCTGAGTTTCATTGATTGCCTGGGTTTTTTGAAATTCTTTTTACTTTTTAATAATAGAGTCACCAAAACTAGCACTGTTGTTTAACCTCAGCAACCAAATAAAGTCCTAGTGTTTTGGGCAGCTTGATACTGGAAGAGTATTATGAGAGTTTCATTTAAGATCGGAGATCAGTAAATCCCATTCTACTTCTAGTTTCTGTTATACGTGGTAATGACACTGATAATTTTTCATAGCCTTATCCCCACAGTTTCTCTATCTTTTGATCATCAGCCTTCTTCCAGAGACAATTACTTTTTCTCTGGACTCCCCATATGTGATATAAGTAAACTCCTCTTTATCCCCTTCTTCTTACATAACATTCTTCCTCCTGATATTTGGAGACTGACTCTCCCATAAGGACACTGCTTTCCCAGCAGCTCACCACATTGGAAGTCAAGCCCCACATACCACAGGGGGCATTGATATGTTCCATCTCCTCATTGCCATTGCTAGGCCACTCCATCCTACCCTTGTAAAACATAATGGAAACCCTTGTGTAATTACCTTTTACCTTCCTCTTCATCATTTATCAGCTCCCTGGTCACTCCCTCACTTTTAAAAAAGAATTTAGCACCCAACTCAGTCTTCATTACTCAAGTCCTACAAGACCATGGTGGGACTAAAGCAGTCATGTGCATCACAGTTCCAGCACCTGAAATGACTGTCTGTGGGACCTTAATGTCTAAGACTGTTTCATATTAAAAATACTAAATTCTAGCATTCTCCTCTCATCTTTCTGTTTATTCATCTCTCCCTCTTCCTTACTTTTCTATATTTAATCTGTGGCCTCATAAAGACCCTGTCCTTTGACTACTATTTTATCATCATCAGCCTCTACCTAGATTAACTTTCTTCCTTGTCTAGCCATGCTACTTGGTTCATTATTTACTCAAATTTCCCTGCCTTTTGTCTTTCTCTGCTTTTGCTCTCTGCTCTAGTTCAGTTTAGTCATTTGCTTTTTCAACTCATATATTTAAAGATAATTAAGTTCTAGTACTGAAAATTACAAAACCAGATTATTGTCATGACGATATGTCACAGTCCATAATAGAGCTCAGCCATTCTTTTCCTTTTCCACCTACAGCTACTATTCTAATTTTTATCACTGTTTAAACCTTCTATCCCATCTTTGACCTTGTACTTTCAGCAGGTGGTTTTGCTTTTTCAGAGGAAATAGACTCTCAGAAGTGAATTTGTAACAGTGACCGCCGGGCCAACTTAACTTCATCAGCAGATATCCTTCTCTCCTGTCTCAGCTTAAGAGGTATGCTTTTTTTCTATCCACAACTGATCCTATATATATGCTAGATCCCATCCATTCTGTCTCCCCCGGGGCCCTTGCTTCATCGTTTAACCTTTTCTTTTATCTTCAGTATACCTTTTCTCACCCACCTGCACCAGCTTCATCTTCCCTGTTCAACAACAAAAAAATGCCTCCACTTGGATTATCCTCTGATTTCTGCTCTCTCTTTCCTCTCCCTTACTATCAAATTTGTGGAAAGAGTAATCTCCCACTCCCCAAGTCTATTAACTCTTCCACCTGCAGTGTTCTGGCTTCTATCACTTACCTGCCATTAAGGACTTTCTAATTGACAAACCCAGTGT